TTTTTATATTACTAAATAACATGTTTAATATTTAAAACATTAGTGCCATGGTGTTTTAATTTAACTTTATTTTGATGATCGGATGGTTGCTTACAAGAAGGTCAGGAGACTTCCTCATGTTCAGCCTTCCACATAGGGTGGAAGTGTGTTGTCATTAATCAGTCAATTACTGTTTTCTTAGTGAATCATTAGCTACTTACACCTCAGTGTGTGTGTGTGTGGTGTGGTGTGGGAGAGAGAGGATCATATTTCTTAGACTCTTTCTTTAGTGTGTCGCTCGCCTCTCAGATGGTCCATGGTTCAGACACGGTGTAAACATGGACATCTTTGCTCCATCTTTATGTTTGCTGTTGCAGTTTTGTTTTAAACTTGGACTTTTGCTATGAACCTAAATGGATGGGTTCACAAAAGATGAGGATCAAGCGTTTCATGTCCGTTCCAGGTAGGAGAAAAGACTTTTAACTACAAACTTTTTTTACCACAGCACATTTTTGATGTGCCTTCATTCTCTATTAACTCTGATTATGGAGTGTTTTACACAACAGATCTTGCTGTAAGGATCTATCTATCTTTCCATTGACGTTCACTTGTTTTTCCATCAGATAAATGGGGTTTGAAATGTAATACAGTGCTTCGGGTTGAGGCTAGTAAAAACGGGCTCAGGTTGGTCGAGAGATCTCTAGTGTGTGCATTTTTAATAGCCGTGTTTAATAATTAAAATGGAGGGTCATCACTTGTTGGCATTGTTTTGTCTCGGTTGCTGTCGTACATCCTGAAATACTGCAGGACCATCTCCCACTGAAGCTGAAAGATGAGTCAAGGGCCTGTTTTATTTCAGCAAGTGTTTTTTCCTAAACGTTTACAGGAAATAATTGGTGAGAATGGGAATGGGATTGAATTCGGCTCAGCATTTTTTGGAGTACATGTGCAAATGGTACCAACAAGGACCTGAAGTTGAGATCCTAGTTGCGAAGTCTGCAATTTTTCCCTCGTAAATGGACTACTTATTACACTGTTTACATTTTTTTTTTAGTTTAACCCCTCCCCCAATGCAATTTTTACCCTGTGGAACCTGAATGGACTTGTTCTGCCTGTGATTGGGAGGGTTTTGAATAGCAATTGGGCTGGTTTTGTTATGCAAACTTAGCAACCCTGGTTGGGATGGAATGTGATGTTTCCCCCCATCATGTAAATGTTTTCATTTCGTCACAATTTTTAGCGTACGTTCACATCACTTCAAACCTATACGATTTTCTTTCTTTTGTGGAACAAAAAAAGGAGATGTTTGAGGATGTTTACGCTACTTCTTTCCATATAGCGATTAGCGAAAGCATATCAAGAGTTGTCGAGCTCCACAAACAAAAAAAAAAAAAGCTCCAGCATGACAGTAGTCCAATGTATTCATGTAGGCCATATGTTGTCTTTTCTAATATTTAGTGGTGAAAATGTTGCCATTCAATGAGTAGCCTATATTTCCCACCATTATATTTCCCTAATGAGCTTTCAGATATTTTTCTCCATTCTGCACATTTTTTTTCTAACAACTGAATGAAACAAATGAAAAGAGACATTTTGCTAAACTTTCTCCTTTTGAGTTTCACAGAACTGAGGGTGAATAATTAATGACTGAATTTTAATTTTTTTAGTGAACTGGCCCTTTAATGTCAAGTTTTTAGAAATTAGCAGACATAATGAGTACCATATGCCTGGTGTTTTGGTAAGAATCAGTGAAATTCATTACTTCATGAGAATAATGAGTTGATATATGGTGCGAATTAGTCAATTGCATCGGCCAGTGGAGAAATCGCGTCAGCCGCTCGGCCCTCGTCCCACCTCGCTGAGGATAAAGAAATTAGAGCATGCCAACGCCGCAAGCCGTCCGCTGAGGACACTCTGGGATTTAATTTGGTCTAATGGATTTTCCCTGCATGGCCTTGGTTACCTGATTGTTCCTCTGGCTGGACTCGATTCCTTCTTCACGACATCTCGCTCTACTTCAGAAGAAGATTAATTGATTCAGGGAGGTTTTCTTGGGTTGCTTGACAGAGTTCTTAAGCCTTCATGCTTTCTCTTGCTAACACTTATTAATAATGGTGAGGGTGGCTATACATATTCTAAAAAAAAATTGTGCTCTTTCCAGTGCAAAAGTTGCTTTTTGCTTAGTGGTTTGAGTCAAACATGTGACTAGACGCCAAAGACTAGTTATTTCTCAGGTCCCACGGTCAATTTATTTAAGTTAATATATTTTTGGCTGGTTTCATTTTCTAAATTATGTAATCTCTGTCGCACAAATTTTCAAGAACTAAGTAGTTTTTCTTGCCATTTCAAGCATAATAACTATTACTATTACTCAAGATTAAGGATTAGAATAAACTTCTAACCATAAGAATTAAGCTTTAACTAAGTAAAAAAAAATAAAGGTTCCAAATGTGGTGTTTTTTTTTTGCAGAAATGCCATGGAAGGATTAGATTTGTTCCTTAAAGAGCCACAAATAATTAACCTTTATGTTTAGGAATGTAGAATAACAATTTTTGGTTCCATAAAGAACCTTCCATTGAATAGTTCTTCTTAAAAGAACCCTTTTCTCTTGGTGTGATGTGAAGAATACAATCTAAAGAACCGTTTTCCAAAAATCCTTTCATGCAATAGAAAGGTTTTGTGGATTTGAACCATAAATGTCAATGAAGACATTTATTTTTATTAGTGTACAATAACCATATTTGTTTCCCCAAAGAACCTTTCAGTGAACCCTTTCTTCTCAGGGTGTGTTCACACTAGTCAGGTTTGATTCGATTTAAATAACCTTTGGTGCGATTACTCTGTTAGTGCGGTTCATTCGAATAAGTGTGAACGCTGCGATCCAAACAAGATGGGTCTCGGTCCACTTCCAAACGAACTCTAGGGCGGTTTGACTGAAATATGAACGGAAATGTCACAAGATGCGACCCTATGTTCAAGCACACCTGTTTTTTCTCATGATAGTTCAGTACAGGCATCAGAACCAGAACCACGTCGTCTATATATAAAATATATATGCCATAAATAACATTCTTTTGTTTTTCATCTTTAAAAATGACAGTGTGAACGCTAAGGCCGTGTGTCCACCAATGCGTTTTTCCACACCTGGCATATGTTTTCAATTGTTTTTAATGGGAGCGCTGCGTTTATTAAACGCCATGAGCTTTTTTTTTTTTTTTCACGATGAAGCGCCAAGCGCTGGGCGTTTTTTTTTTTTTTTTTTTTTTTTTTTTACTGGTCGCAGAGAGTTGAAAAATTTTCAACTTTGGATAAAACGCAGTGCTCATCACTGTCACTTTTTACCCAACTGTCCAATCACAGTGGAGGAGGGGCGGGACTAAACCACACTGACCAACTGTCACAACATTCTTTTTGTACAACGACATCGACCAGCAGTGCTAACCGAACAAAATGGATGAAAAATAAATTTTTAGTATAAAAAACAAACTATCTGCGAAATCAGTGAAAAGTAAACTGTGCTGCGGATACGAAACGTCTCAACAGAAAAAAACGCTCTCAAGCGCCCAAAGCTCGCCGTCTTCAGCAGAGCGTCTAGCGTTTTCAGCTGGCTAAAAACGCTTTGGTGGACAAACGGCCTAAGCGAATCAGGACTAAATATATCATTTTGGTCCGGACCAAAAACCAAGAGAACCGAACTGCAAGTGTGAACACCCGTCATTTTAAAAATCTTTATGGAACTGTAGATACCAATAAAGAACCATTATTTGTTTATGAGTGTAAAAAAAAAAACAGAATCTGCATAGTTCGTTTCGCCCAACTGGATTTACTGGTTTAGGAGCTGTTCTAAGCACATTAGAGTTACTCTGTTTTTCCCTTTATGCGTGATAATCCCCATGTGTCGTCGTCTCACTGTTAATTGGAATTGACGCTTCCCATCGGGTGTCCGTAGATGACACGAGCATGCCGTACAGTTGCATCTGTTATCGGAAGGCTTACCGTTGACCCTGCGTTCATGTGTGCGAGACCCAGCGTAACCCGTCATGGCCTGCCAACAACATAACATTTTAGATGCTAAAGCCTCGTCTGGTTATGCTCAGGCTCCTCACCAGGGGTAGAGGGTTGGGAAAGGTCTCACAGAGGGTGTTATCCTGGAATTTGGTGTCTTTTGGGAGAGCCAAATCAGTTTTGTGATGTGTCTGAGAGGGTCGAAGCCGTGGGGCTCGTGCTTCACCCCATGGAGAATTAAACGTGTCTATCACATTGGAGGAGAAAAAGTCATCAAAAGGATTGGGATGTTTGGACGGTGCACTGCATATTATAAAAAGAAAAAGGATAAAAGGTGGGGTGAGTTTTTCTGTACACTGTGGTTGCCAGGGCATTGCTGTGTGGTTGCTAAGGGGTTATTAGGGGTGTCCTTGGTGGTTACAAGGTGCTTAAAAGATTTGTATTCTGCTCTTTTGAACTTGCTATTAGAATCCTGATAAAAGGTATTCTGGTTTTCACAAAAATATGAAGCAACAACATTGTTTTCCACGTTGAGAATAATCAGGAATGTTTCTTGAGCAGTGATTTCTGAAGGATCATGTGACACTGAAGACTGGAGTAATGATGCTGAAAATGCAGCTTTGATCACATGAATACATCACATTTTACAATATATTAAAATAAAATAACAGATTTATTTTAAATTGAAATAATATTTCGCAATATTACAGTTTTTACTGCAAGTTTGATGAAATTAATGCAGCCTTGGTGAAAATAAAAGACTTCCAGACCCCAAACTTGTTAAAAGGAGTTTTTTTGTTTTTTTTTGATGACGTGGTAATTAAGTTTTTTCTCAGTATTGACAGTGTTTAATTTCTTATTTTTATGAATTCTCCAAATATTTCTGTATTTTAAACATCAGATATGTAGTGACTGATTTTTTGTCTTCACTCAGCGCTTTCACATTTGATGAGGACTTAAAAGTGTACTTTTTTCAGACAAAAATCGGCACCTAATAATGTCTATACGTAACATACTCATGGACGCACACTCTTTAAGAGCAAATAGAAGTCCTTGTATGCAAATGCAACGTTATATTTTTCATACATTCTGTGAAACTTTAGAAGGTTTACAGGCATTCAGATCAGTGTTGCTGTTTCTTAAATGCACTTTCTTTAACTTTCTTTAAAACAATATTGTGAAAAGCGCTAAATTTGAATTGAATTGAATTGTTGCTTAGTAAAGCTGAGATTATTAGTCAATCTTTGACACCCTCTCAATATGGGAGTCGTTCATATTTTTATTGCGTGTCAGCTGATAAGACCTTCTCAAGAACTTGTGTAGACACAGACCTAATGATGATGACATTGTAGTAAATCTTTATAGATTTTTCTACAACATCTGGGGAATGCTTTTGATTGCCACAGATGATAAACCCTTAGTGTGTTCAAAAGAAATGGGAAATGCATTTACACAAAACCAATTACGTTTTAGTTGCATAACATCGGTTAATGGAAACGCTGTCATTTCACAATCGACATTTAGAAAATATCACAAGGTTTGCGCAAATCTGTAATGGAGTCCAGGCTGTTGTTCCTCAAATATAAGGCCTCTGCAGTTAAATATGCTTAAACACAAATACTGGACTGATCGCTAGATTTAAAAACGTTAATTAATTAATCTTCATATCAAACTGAAATATTTTACTCCCTTTACTTTGCTTCTATGCACATCAATTGACATTTAGGTATACACTAATAAAATATGTATCCATGTATTTTTTTAAACATTTTTATATATTTATTAGTGCTGTCAAATCAATTAAAAAAGTGTGTGTGTGTTTGTGTGTATCTATAAATGTATTAATTACGATTTATTGATTTGACAGCACTGATAATTTTTTTTATTTTTTTTACCAAAACACATTTTTTGGTCTCTGGTCTCATAACTATTGCTCTCTATGGCTGCGTCCAAAATTGTATACTCTCGTGAGTAGGTACTTATTTTAAATGAGTGCGTACTTGCATAGATATCCATAATAAAGGCTAGATATCTTGTCCGCGCTACTAGCCAATGGAGGTCGACGTCTGCACCTGGCGGCCATCTTGTCACAAGCAGCTCGCTCACTCGTAACATTGTGTTTTTAATGGTGCATGTACTTTTTAAATAACCATAACTTGCTCGATTTTCTACCGATTTTCAAACGGTTTGGTTTGTTATGAACGTCAGAGATGTAGTTATGCCACCGCATACTTATGAATAATAAGTGTATCAATAAATAATCATCCAGAATTATAGCCACGTTAACAACGTTTGTAAGAAACCAAACCGTTTTTAGATCCGTCAAGATTTTAACGTTTATTTAACTAAGAAAGTACTTTGCGACCGTAAAAAAAGTACGTTCTATATAGTATGAATACGGGTAGTATGAATGAGTCCGGACATACTACATGCGCCATGTTGTTGTCACGTGACATACGCTGTCACAACAGTGCGAAGATTTAAAGACCCCATTCCAGTGACTGCACCAACTTCACCTAATTTTAGTTAGTGCTTTCTGTTTTCATCTGCGTTTTTACGTCGTCCAATCAAGAGGAGGCGTCGGTCAGCTGCTCGCAGATCACTTTTTTACGGAATTTCTCTTTACTAAATAAATTTTACCTCACAAAACACACACAACCCCTATGAATGAACAATGACAGATGTTGATTTTTGGCGAGGAAAAAGCCATTTATTTACTTGTGATATTACCATCGATAAATAAACACGAATGAATCAATAGATATACGCATGTGTGTCTGTGTTTATCTCCTAACGTTACTCCGCCGGTTTCCGCCATTTTCAAATATAACAACAACATCTCTCCCGTGGCATCATGGGATAGTAATGTGTCCATCGTATGCATCATCCGGGTACTTTTCGCCTACTGTTTAGCGAATTCTATGATTTCGCACATACTATTTCGTTTTTCGTATACTATATAGTCGGGAAGTATTCGATTTCGGACGCAGCTATAGCCTTTATTGTGGATATCTATGTCTGGACGTACTACATCCGCAATGTTGTCGTTATCATGTGACCTGCCTGAACACTTCTTCGTAAACCCATTTTTCCCTACTCCTGCCTTTGCTAACCTCTCTGCTGCCCCCTGCAGGATGGAGGCCTCGTGTCTGGAACTGGCTCTGGAAGGTGAGCGTCTGTGTAAAGTGGGAGATTACCGTGCGGGCGTCTCATTTTTTGAGTCGGCCATCCAGGTGGGCACAGAAGACCTGCAGATTTTGAGCGCCATCTACAGTCAGCTGGGCAACGCATACTTCCACCTGCACGAGTACAACAAGGCGCTGGAATACCATCGGCATGACCTGACGCTCACCAGGTCTGAATCTGGAGTGTTATGTCACTGTTCTAAAGCCGGACGGATTATATCCTTATCTAAAATAACCAGTTTTGTTATTATGGCTCCTCTAGAACTATTGGAGATCAGGTGGGAGAAGCTAAAGCCAGTGGGAACCTCGGAAACACGTTGAAAGTTTTGGGACGCTATGACGAAGCAGCAGTTTGTTGCCAAAGACACCTGGATATTTCCAGGATGCTCCATGATATGGTGAGTTGTCAAATGCAGGGTTTCTACAAGGTGCTTGAAGTACTTGACTTTTTCAAATTGAAGTCCTGGAAAATGCAGGACTTTAAAAATAAAGCCATTTCGCATGGCTATGAGTGTAATATTGGTTATTTATGAGGAGAAAATCAGTTTGTATAAGGAAAGCGATATATCTGACATTTTTATTAGCTTTCAATGCTTCAAGTTACCACAGTCATTGCATGTGCTGCACATTATTTGTATCATTTTAATATTTTTTTATTCAACTTTTTTTAGAATTTCTAAAGATATTGTTTGATAAATTAAGTAAATAACCAAAAAAGTAGGGCTTGAAAAGCACTTTTACAGTATCTACAAACCCTGTAAATGGAACTAAAGGGCTTTTAATGCAACAGCTTTATCCAAAATTAAGTTTCCGTCATTATTTACTCTCTCTCTAACTTTCAAAACCCATGAGGTTTCGTTCTTCTGTCGAAACACATAAAATAAGATATTTTAAAGAATAGATTAATCAATGCCGTTGTGTACTGATGTCAAACCTGGCATGTCAAGGCACAGTGTGCATGTGTGAATAAGATGTCACAGCCTCGTGGAAGCAATCATATGGCATCATCAGACTGGGAATATCACATATCGAAAAGTATTGATTGTTTTTATGGCACTTCTGGTCCTTTTTTGGATCTTGAAGCTCCTGGTCGTCATATGCTTGCAGAACCAAAGAAAATAGATACAATAAAAAGCTGTTTAAATATGATTATTGACTGATAATATTTATTTCTTGATGTAAGCAAGTAAATAAATACATAAAAGAGTATTTATTTATTGATCAAATAAATTGGGCTATTCAAAGAATAAAAATAACATTTTTATTAATTTAATTGCTACAATAAACATAAAACTGTGTTCAAACAAATAAATGAATAAACAGTAGTGTCTTTTTATTCATTTTTTTATTAACTTTCCTATATACATATTATAATATTGTCATGTTAACTTCCAATAATATTGTGAATTTTTTTTTTAACAACTTCCACGCCAATAAATTTTTTTTTTTTTTTTAAATTACTGATTATATTTTTTTAGGGATGCAAAATAAACATAAACATACAAAACATGCATAAATAAAACAGAATTTATTTATTTGTATTGATTAAAATATAAAACTGATCAACTATAATAAATAAGTTGTCAAAAGGCCATGCTCTTTTCAGTTTTTAGCCCTTTTCAAAGTGTCTTGATTTATGTATTGTTATCAGCAATCATTTAAGATTAATGCGATGATGTTTTGCCAATATCTCCCAAGTCTAAGTGTGAGTAAATGATGACAGATTATTTTTATTTCTTTAAATTCCACTTGAGTTTGCCCCAGATGTTTTTAAAGTCACATTTGTCCTGTTATCCAAAGACACGGCCTGATCTATTTTAGCAGACCATAAACATAGTTTAAGTGCAAGCTGTCAATCGATTTTTTAGGTGTGTAATCAGTGCTGGTTGTGTGTGTGTTATCTGGACGTGTGTCTGTGTGTGGTTTTGTTAGGTGGGGCAGGCTCGAGCGCTGTATAATTATGGGAATGTGTACCACGCCAAGGGGAAGAACATATGTTGGAGCGGTATGGACCCTGGAGACTTTCCCGAGGAGGCACGCATCGCTCTAAAGAAAGCAACCGAGTACTATGAGTGAGCGAGCCAACATTAGTTGTTTTCATTACTGAAAGAGATTTATTTGGCCTCAAGGGCAGTTATGTTTTCCAAAAGCATGCTAAACTTTCTATTATTTCATCTAACCGACTGCATCTTATACTGTTTGTCTCGGTTTGAAGAGCGAATCTGGCCATTGTGAAGGAGTTGGGGGACAGAGCGGCTCAGGGCAGGACTTACGGCAACCTTGGCAACTCACACTATTTGCTCGGAAACTTCCAGGATGCTGTTCTTGCCCACGAGCAGGTATTTAACACTGAGAGTTTCTTAAATGCGCTGTCAGTTTTAAATCTAAATGTACTTGTGGTTTCTGAGACGAGAACTCAAATGCAGAGGAAATGTAGATAAGGTACAAACTCAAAAAAGCACTGTGAGCAAGTGGAAACACATGGAACAGGTAATTTGGACAAACGAACCAGCACAGGGAAGCTAAATAGGGGAACAAACAAAGGAGGGTAACAGGTGGGACATATTAACCAATAATTACATAACAAGATGGGAGGGGCTAGACAGTAGACAGGAGAGCACATGGCACAAAGTAAACACATGACAAGCCATGTGCTCACAATAAACAGAACTAGAACACAAGCACATGACAAACCAGACACTGTGACACATAATCATGACATGACACGAGGTTTTATGCATGTTTATTACAACTGTCATTAAAGGAGTAACTTAACTCATTTAAAAAAACCTTTAAAAAACTTTTGCTGATAATTTACTCACCCCCATGTCATCCAAGATGTCCATGTCTTTCTTTCTTCAGTCGAAAAGAAATGAAGGTTTTTGAAGAAAACATTTTTCTCCATATAATGGACTTCAATGGGAACCAAACGGTTCAAGGTCCAAAAGACATTTTCAGTGCAAACTGTTCAAAGGGCTTTAAACGATTCCAGACGATGAATAAGGGTCTTATCAAGCGAAACAATCTCTAATTAATTTTTTTTTTACAAAGTTTAAGTTTTATAAGCTCAAATGCTCGCCTTGCTCTGTTCTGTGATGCGCGTTCGTGACTCTCCTGTTCGAACTCGTTCATCAAAATGAACGAATCTTTTCCAGGGTCAACTCGTTCATTTCGTTCGTTGAATGAACCAAATGACACGAAAAAAAGATTTGCTCATTTTGATAAACCACTTCGAACAGGAGAGTCACAAACATGACATATTTATGACAATTTATGTTGTATTGGTTTACGTCAAATTGCCATTACCAAGACACTGACAGGTTATACTGTATTATTGTTTATGTCAAGTTGTCATAACAAAGACATCTCAAACAATGTTATATTTGCATTAATGACACTTAATGACAGTTGTCGTAAACATGCATACAACCTCCTTCATATTCTTGACACGTGTCATATTATGGTTATGAAGGTGTCTTGTCAGTCTTATCCACACCCCTTCAAGGGAAGTGTTACCAAATGCTCAAACTGAATGTAAAAATAATGGAAAAAATGCTAGAATAAATTATGGATTAGTGTACAGAAAGTTATTCTAATAATATTGATATATAACGCTGTACTTGCTGTAATGATGATTAAAATAAATATCACTACACAAGACCATTTTGCAACATGTAAACAACACTGGTCCAGAAGCACTTCCTGTTTCAGTTTTTTAACACTACATAAAAGCTGGGATAAAATACAACCAACAGAACATATAAAACTGAATCAAAAAGTTAAACAAACATACATGTGAAATAAAGAAAACAGTTACAAACTGAAACAGGAAGTGCTTCTGGACCAGTGTTGTTTACATGGTCTATACAATAATAATAAAGAACTCTGTTTATCTATAGTGCAGAAAATGATGTAAATATTAATGCTTTCTTCTTTTTACAGCGTCTCCTCATCGCGAAGGAGTTTGGAGACAGAGCCGCCGAGCGGAGAGCATATTGCAACCTTGGAAATGCCTACATATTCCTCGGGCAGTTTGAAGTTGCAGCTGAGCATTACAAGTCAGTTCGCTAGTATATGAAATGAATTTGATTCAGCTGTAAAGCAGCTCTACAGAAGACAATAGTGTCGTTATTCAGCTCAATTCGTTTCGAGCTTTGTTCTTGCGAAGTCGAATGAATAATGATGATGTGTATCCCACAGGCGGACGCTGCAGTTGGCGCGGCAGCTGAAGGACAGGGCTGTGGAAGCTCAGGCCTGTTACAGTCTGGGAAACACCTACACGCTTCTGCAGGACTATGAGAGAGCTATAGACTATCACCTCAAACATCTCATCATAGCTCAGGACCTCAAGGACAGGTAGGCTGTTTCGGACACTTCTGGTCTGTGCTGCTGTTTATGAGGGCTAATCGTCCTGTCACTGTGTGTAGGATTGGAGAAGGGAGGGCGTGCTGGAGTTTAGGGAATGCATACACCGCACTGGGAAACCACGAGCAGGCCATGAGCTTTGCTGACAAACATCTGGAGATCTCAAAAGAGGTGTGTGTTTGTGTGTGTGTGCTTGGCTCAGTGAGATAACACTAACAGACTTCCTGCCTGCACAGGAAAAGCCATATGGGTGAATCTCAATGAAAAGGAAGATTTTTTTTTTTTAACAAAATAAAAAACTTGCCATACTAACACTACCCAGATAGCAAACTGACATTGAATCAACGTGGAAATATGACATCGAAACAACGTTGATCTGACATTGTTTTGCTCATCGAATTAATGTTGAACCAACGTCAGACGCGTCATTCTTTCAAAACTAACGGAAAATCAACGCGTTGTTTCAACGTTATGAAAGCAAACCAATTTTCGATTTTCATTTAGCTTTGAAGAATGCCGCGTCTGACGTTGGTTCAACGTTAATTTGATGAGCAAAATCAACGTTGTTTCAATGTCATGAGAGACGTCGTTTCCACGTTGATTCAATGTCAGTTTGCTGTCTGGGTAGTCAACATTTGAAGTGGATCAAAACCTTTCATCAAAGTTATACGTGAATTTTGAACAACACCCGTTCTTGTCTTAGGACAACTTATGCGATCCACTTCAAATGTTGACTACTGTATTATATATAGTGGCCGAGAGAAGAAAACTGTAGAAAACGCATGCAAATGTAAAAAACACTAGCAAATTAAGAAAGCGTCTTGTGCTGCAAAAAGCCCGCTGCAAATACTCACAACAATGCACATACGACCAGAATGTCAAAATAAACAAAAAAACTCACCTTTCAGTTCTGATTCTGATTTGACCGTTCGTTTACACGTTCCTTCAGTTGTGACACATGCGATTCATGCGTTTACACTTGCCATACTATCTGAAACATCACACATGCTTAAAGCAGGGCTCCAGACTAACTTTTTTTACTAGAAGTGCTGTTGCCCCTGACTGAAAATTTTAGGAGCGCAAGCAGAAAATTTAGGGGCACACCTTAAATCAGCTCGCAATGCAATTATTCAAATTTCCCCCAACATAACTGTAATACTGACAAATTCTTTAATAATAAATAGACTTAACATTATGATATGCTGTTTTATTTTAAGTTCACAGGGCTCCAGATTCAAATTTGAAGGCAGCACCACCTCAAATCAGAACTCGAGTTATACAAAAAAAAAAAAAAAAAAAAAAAACTGGTAGCACTGGGGCTGACAATAAATAAATAATATAAATAAATAAATAAATAAATCACATTAATTTAGTTATTATCACTTATAATGTCTTAATATTAATTAAAAACAAAAGGAGAGAAAACATGTATGTATATAAGGACTTGGAGTGAAAATAGCCAATAAACATCTTACTGTTTACAATGTTTTTTTGTTTTTTTTTAAATAATAATAATAATAATAATAATAATTTTAATGTTTAAATAAGAGTTTTCCAACATCTTAAAATTTTTCGTTTTAGGACAATCTTTGAAGAATGAACAAAAAATGTGTTGATCATCACAAAAAAAAATACAAAAAATAAAACATTTAACGTTATATATGATATTATCGTTTTGAAGAGCAGGACAAAGATGTGTAGGCTACGTTGTAAGCATTTGACATCATATAAATGGTTAGAGTTAACTTACTACATTAGCCTAAATTCATGGTGAATGTTGCTGATTTGTGGACTGAAAGCCTTCTGTAAGTCTTTCTCCTGGTTTCCACGTCAGCGCTGTTTGATCTGATATCTGTGGTTTATAACAGAACTCTGCGCCGAATCGGAATGTTTCTCACTGGATCTCGTAGCGATGATGTTATTAATTCTGAGGTGAATTCAATGGATTTATTCACTGGATCTGCTAGTAACAGTGTCGCGTGATCGAGATCGGCCCGCGACTGGCAAGTACGGGGCTAAAGTTATTACTGTCAGTGGTTCGGGGGGGCTCCACTATGCGCTGCTCTGACAGCTGTCTATTATGTCCAACCTAATAAAAACGCTAACGGTCCGTCCGTGAGTTGCGTATTTTAGTTCCACTTTCATTTTGTTTGTATTCGTTGCTAGGTAACGTGTCGCTCAGACGCACATTGCAGGTTGTGATATTTGTCTCCGTCTCCTTCCCACAGACGTTTATTCGCGCTATTCTTGTCACGGATTCATTGACGCGTCCCTTCCACGCTTTACCATGCGTTTAACGTGTTGCAAATGTACCGGTCGCACATGTGCGACTGGATGTAAAATTCAGTCGCACACTCTCAAATTTTGGTCGCAAAATGCGACTATTTGGTCGCAGTCTGGAGCCCTGTTAAAGGGTTCAATACTCTTGCACAGTTGGACGAACGCAAATTATGCTTGATACTTGCTCTGCGATATATGTGAAGTTTGCCAAACATCACCATGATGACGTTTCTGAATTTGGTTGCATTGTGAGTATTTGCAGAGCGTTTCTGTATTTGGTTGTGCTTTTTTGTATTTGGTTGCGTTGTGAGTAATTTGCTCCTGGTTTCTGTATTTGGTTGTGTTGTGAGTATTTGCTCCAGGTTTCTGTGTTTGGTTGTGTTGTGAGTATTTGCTCCAGGTTTCTGTGTTTGGTTGTGTTGTGAGTATTTGCTCCAGGTTTCTGAATTTGGTTGCGTTGTGAGTATTTGCAGAGCGTTTCTGTATTTGGTTGTGCTTTTTTGTATTTGGTTGTGTTGTGAGTATTTGCAGAGCGTTTCTGTATTTGGTTGTGCTTTTTTGTATTTGGTTGCGTTGTGAGTATTTGCTCCTGGTTTCTGTGTTTGGTTGTGTTGTGAGTATTTGCTCCAGGTTTCTGAATTTGGTTGAGTTGTGAGTATTTGCAGAGCGTTTCTGTATTTGGTTGTGCTTTTTTGTATTTGGTTGCGTTGTGAGTATTTGCTCCTGGTTTCTGTGTTTGGTTGTGTTGTGAGTATTTGCTCCAGGTCTCTGAATTTGGTTGCGTTGTGAGTATTTGCTCCTGGTTTCTGTGTTTGGTTGTGTTGTGAGTATTTGCTCCAGGTCTCTGAATTTGGTTGCGTTGTGAGTATTTGCAGAGCGTTTCTGTATTTGGTTGTGCTTTTTTGTATTTGGTTGCGTTGTGAGTATTTGCTCCTGGTTTCTGTATTTGGTTGCGTTGTGAGTATTTGCTCCAGGTCTTTGAATTTGGTTGCGTTGTGAGTATTTGCTCCAGGTTTCTGTGTTTGGTTGTGTTGTGAGTATTTGCTCCAGGTTTCTGTGTTTGGTTGCGTTGTGAGTATTTGCAGTGCGTTTCTGTATTTGGTTGTGCTTTTTTGTATTTGGTTGCGTTGTGAGTAATTTGCTCCTGGTTTCTGTATTTGGTTGTGTTGTGAGTATTTGCTCCAGGTTCTGTGTTTGGTTGTGTTGTGAGTATTTGCTCCAGGTTTCTGTGTTTGGTTGTGTTGTGAGTATTTGCTCCAGGTTTCTGAATTTGGTTGCGTTGTGAGTATTTGCAGAGCGTTTCTGTATTTGGTTGTGCTTTTTTGTATTTGGTTGCATTGTGAGTATTTGCAGAGCGTTTCTGTATTTGGTTGTGCTTTTTTGTATTTGGTTGTGTTGTGAGTATTTGCAGAGCGTTTCTGTATTTGGTTGTGCTTTTTTGTATTTGGTTGCGTTGTGAGTATTTGCTCCTGGTTTCTGTGTTTGGTTGTGTTGTGAGTATTTGCTCCAGGTTTCTGAATTTGGTTGTGTTGTGAGTATTTGCAGAGCGTTTCTGTATTTGGTTGTGCTTTTTTGTATTTGGTTGCGTTGTGAGTATTTGCTCCTGGTTTCTGTATTTGGTTGTGTTGTGAGTATTTGCTCCAGGTCTCTGAATTTGGTTGCGTTGTGAGTATTTGCTCCTGGTTTCTGTGTTTGGTTGTGTTGTGAGTATTTGCTCCAGGTCTCTGAATTTGGTTGCGTTGTGAGTATTTGCAGAGCGTTTCTGTATTTGGTTGTGCTTTTTTGTATTTGGTTGCGTTGTGAGTATTTGCTCCTGGTTTCTGTATTTGGTTGCGTTGTGAGTATTTGCTCCAGGTCTCTGAATTTGGTTGCGTTGTGAGTATTTGCTCCTGGTTTCTGTGTTTGGTTGTGTTGTGAGTATTTGCTCCAGGTTTCTGTGTTTGGTTGCGTTGTGAGTATTTGCAGTGCGTTTCTGTATTTGGTTGTGCTTTTTTGTATTTGGTTGCGTTGTGAGTATTTGCTCCTGGTTTCTGTATTTGGTTGTGTTGTGAGTATTTGCTCCAGGTTTCTGTGTTTGGTTGTGTTGTGAGTATTTGCTCCAGGTTTCTGAATTTGGTTGCGTTGTGAGTATTTGCAGAGCGTTTCTGTATTTGGTTGTGCTTTTTTGTATTTGGTTGCATTGTGAGTATTTGCAGAGCGTTTCTGTATTTGGTTGTGCTTTTTTGTATTTGGTTGTGTTGTGAGTATTTGCAGAGCGTTTCTGTATTTGGTTGTGCTTTTTTGTATTTGGTTGCGTTGTGAGTATTTGCAGAGCGTTTCTGTATTTGGTTGTGCTTTTTTGTATTTGGTTGCATTGTGAGTATTTGCAGAGCGTTTCTGTATTTGGTTGTGCTTTTTTGTATTTGGTTGTGTTGTGAGTATTTGCAGAGCGTTTCTGTATTTGGTTGTGCTTTTTTGTATTTGGTTGCATTGTGAGTATTTGCAGAGCGTTTCTGTATTTGGTTGTGCTTTTTTGTATTTGGTTGTGTTGTGAGTATTTGCAGAGCGTTTCTGTATTTGGTTGTGCTTTTTTGTATTTGGTTGCGTTGTGAGTATTTGCTCCTGGTTTCTGTGTTTGGTTGTGTTGTGAGTATTTGCTCCAGGTCTCTGAATTTGGTTGCGTTGTGAGTATTTGCAGAGCGTTTCTGTATTTGGTTGTGCTTTTTTGTATTTGGTTGTGTTGTGAGTATTTGCAGAGCGTTTCTGTATTTGGTTGTGCTTTTTTGTATTTGGTTGCGTTGTGAGTATTTGCTCCTGGTTTCTGTATTTGGTTGTGTTGTGAGTATTTGCTCCAGGTTTCTGTGTTTGGTTGCGTTGTGAGTATTTGCAGAGCGTTTCTGTATTTGGTTGTGCTTTTTTGTATTTGGTTGCGTTGTGAGTATTTGCTCCTGGTTTCTGTATTTGGTTGTGTTGTGAGTATTTGCTCCAGGTTTCTGTGTTTGGTTGCGTTGTGAGTATTTGCAGAGCGTTTCTGTATTTGGTTGTGCTTTTTGGTATTTGGTTGTGTTGTGAGTATTTGCAGAATGTTTCTGTATTTGGTTGTGTTGTGAGTATTTGCTCCAGGTTTCTGAATTTGGTTGCGTTGTGAGTATTTGCAGAGCGTTTCTGTATTTGGTTGTGCTTTTTTTGTATTTGGTTGAGTTGTGAGTATTTGCGGAGCGTTTCTGTATTTGGTTGTGCTTTTTTGTATTTGGTTGCGTTGTGAGTATTTGCTCCTTGTTTCTGTATTTGGTTGTGTTGTGAGTATTTGCTCCAGGTTTCTGTGTTTGGTTGCGTTGTGAGTATTTGCAGAGCGGTACTGTATTTGGTTGTGCTTTTTTGTATTTGGTTGCGTTGTGAGTATTTGCAGAGCGTTTCTGTATTTGGTTGTGCTTTTTTGTATTTGGTTGTGTTGTGAGTATTTGCAGAGCGTTTCTGTATTTGGTTGTGCTTTTTTGTATTTGGTTGCGTTGTGAGTATTTGCAGAGCGTTTCTTTATTTGGTTGAGTTGTGAGTATTTGCTCCAGGTTTCTGTATAGTCCTCCCCCCATTTTTGTAATTGGAATTGGGTAAAATGTATTGACATATCCATATATTCTGACGATGCATTTGTCTAACGCAACTTAAAATAGAGGAGATTAAACAATTCATCACAGAACCATAAATATTCATCGGATACAGTGGCAGATTTATTAGAAAGCTACGTAGATTAGAAAACAAGCTAGAACAGAAGTGGAATTCAGAAAAGAAGACACATTTCCCTGGTTATTTGTTCTAAAAATAGTACAAAGCAAAATAAAATGCCTTCTTTCTTTCTTTTGATTTTGGGGTAAAATGTGACAAGTCTGGCTTCACGAGATTCTGCTCCAGTGTGCTTGTTCATGATTGAACTGAGCGTGTGTTTTCTGGGCTAGCACTTCCAGTAATGTTTTTTCCTTCCTGTATGTGTGCGCTCCTCAGATTGGAGACCGCAGCGGGGAGCTGACGGCTAGGATGAACGTATCGGATCTGCAGTTAGTTTTGGGTCTGAAGCAAAACAGTAACAGCTCTGCCCTCATCGAGAGCCCGTCCGGTGACAGCAGTCCGCCTGGTAAAACACACAACTTTCACAAACTCAAACATTAAAACCAAGCATCCTATAAACTACAGTTATTTGTTAAATACATTTTTTATGATGCATACATGAGAGAAATTTTAAAAAAAATAAAATAAAAAAGTTGGATAAGAACATGAAAATAAAGCACTAAAATGTAACCAAAGCAATGAAAAAATAAATAAATAGAAAAAATCACCTGTCTTAGAATATTGAATATTATAATTAATAATTTTATTATCAAAAAATCTGATTAAAAGAATTGCATTTAAAAGTGTAAAAAATGTTTTAATTTCATTCCCTAAACATGTAAACATTTTTTCTTTTCTTTTCTTTTTTTGGTGTTAGGAGTTTGGTGATACTGCCATCTACTGGTTAAATACTGTACATTTTGGTTAAATATGTACAAACTCGCTTGAATATCCTCCTTTAATTTTTTTGGAGCATGTTTAATTTTTTTGTAAAATCATCTATATTAACCATTGAAACATTTTAAGCATTTAAAATGACTTTAATATGATTGAATATGAATATGACTCTAACTTTAATATGATTGGTTGTAACAATATTAGTAAATTGTGAATCTGACATCAGGGTGTGTGATCTACTATCCTACTGATCTACTATCATATCTTTCTTTCTGCTTGTGTAGATGGGAGATCCAAAGGAAGCCGGAGACACAGCATGGAGAACATGGAGCTCATGAAACTGACCTCTGACAAAAATACGGTGAGACTTTAAACGCATTCAAAACATCACATACGAAATAATTGACAACATTTAGTGAGATTAACAAAAAAAAATGTTGTTTCATTTTAAGAAATACCTCAAGTATATTTAGCTTCACAGAAAGAAGAAATCAATTGTTCAGTAATTACTCATTACAAAATATACATATTTTTGGTGCTTCTAATTACTGTTAATTAATACTAGGACTGGGACTTGCATGCATCACATATACATTTTGTTACTTTTTATTTCAAGGTGTTCATGTTTTTGCATATCAAATAATTAGCATAACAAAAGTGTGCCTATAAAGTCTTTATGCTTCATCTCCCCAGGGGCAGGCCTGTGAGGAGACTACAACCACTCAGCAAACCAAATCACCAACCAAAACATCCATAGCCAAGACATCTTCAAAACTTTTCTTCATCAATCGCTTCAGGAGCAAAAAGCACAGGTTGAATGGTTCAAACTCCAGTCTGCCAGCTGAGAACCACAGCAGCACCAGCCCGACTGCAGCGCCTCTGGACACACAGGTGCTTAAATGACCCCTTTAAAGTCAGCATGAAAGGGAAGTTGACGTATATATCTGAGTGAAACAGCTTCCCGGACAAGAAAAAACTCTAAGGCGGGGACTTGATTTTGTCCATGGGGATTGATTGTATGGTTTAGGTTGCTATTGGTTAATCTCAGATGAGTGACAGGTTGCCCCGCCCTCATTATCATCAGAGAAGAGAAGAGATGTCACTGCAAGAAGTAAGGGAAGATATTTTAATTACGAGGGCACATGAATCATTTATAATACATACGACAAAAATTCCATTAAAAAGACACATTGTCATTTATGATTCTGACTTTAATTAGCAGTGTTGCGTCTCAAAAAACATATTGGTTAAAACATACTGAAAAGAGAGGCTGAAATACTATATTGAACAATCAATTTTATAAATTAGAGTGCATGCAAAGTTATAAACTTTTCAAAATTCTGATTTTGGTTTTTTAAGATTTGATAAATTCTAACAAATTAAATTGTTGTTATTATAACTGGGCTTTTCCACAGTGCGCTCCAGACACTCTGGGGGACGACGGCTTTTTTGACCTTCTAACCCGCTTCCAGGGCAGCCGTATGGATGATCAAAGGTGCACATTAGAGGACGGCATTAGTCGTGTTCCCGCCCCTTCCTTTCCCCGTGAAACCCCGTCCGTAGCCTTGAGGAAACGTGAGTCGACTAACTATATATAGAAATTAAAGCAGTGTATACAGTGACAAGCAATTTGTTTGTCCACATTGATCAGTGCTGTGTCACATGAGAAAATCACAGCCAATCAGAAGATCCTTGATGTTTAACATTACGGTTAAATGAATTTGGCGTAAACAGAATGAGAACATGGATCCATCATGCCTTGTTACCACTGTGCAGGCTGGTGGTGGTGTAATGGTGTGGGGGATGTTTTCTTGGCACAAATTGGTTTCCCCTCTCCCCTCGCTGCTATTGCCTACGCTCAAATCAGGGCGCTATTTAAAGGAGAAGTTCACTTTTCAAAAGACTTTTGCTGATAATTTACTCACCCCCTTGTCATCTAAGATGTCCATGTCTTTCTTTCTTCACTCGAAAAGAAATTAAGGTTTTTAATGAAAACATTCCAGGATTTTTCTCCATATAATGGACTTCAATGGGAACCAAACGGTTCAAAGTCCAAAAGACAGTTTCAGTGCAAACTGCAAACTGTTCAAAGGGCTTTAAACGATTCCAGACGATAAATAAGGGTCTTATCAAGCGAAACGATCGCTATTTTTTTTTTAAAAATAACAAAGTTTAAGTTTTATAAGCTCAAATGCTCGCCTTGCTCTGTTCTGTGGTGCACGTTCGTGACTCTACTGTTCGAACTCGTTTATCAAAATGAACAAATCTTTTTCCGAATCAATTTGTTCGTTTCTTTCGCCGAATGAACCAAATGACTCGGAAAAAGATTTGTTCATTTTGATGAACGAGTTCTAAGAGGAGTGCGTTACAGAACAGAGCAAGGCGAGCGTTTGAGCTTATAAAACTTAAACTTTGTTGTTTATTTATAAAACGAGCAATCGTTTGGCTTGATAAGACCCTTATTTATCGTCTGGAATCGTTTAAAGCCCTTTGAACAAGTTTGCAGTTTGTACTTAAAGTTTCTTTTGGAACTTGAACCGTTTGGTTCCCATTGAAGTCCATTATATGGAGAAAAATCCAGGAACGTTTTCATTAAAAACCTTAATTTCTTTTCGACTGAAGAAAGAAAGACATGGACATCTTGGATGACATGGGGGTGAGTAAATTATCAGCAAAAGTTTTTTCAAAAGTGAACTACTCCTTTAAGCAGATTCAGTTCGCTCCTAACTGCTTACTGCTCGCTCTCTGCAACCCAGCTCCTCCTTGTCGTGTTTAACGTGGCATTTGCTTTCTGTCATCGTTGTTGTTCTGTTCATATGGGGGAATAGTTCAGCTTTCCCAGTCCTAAACTCATCATACTGTCTCCCAAACGTTTGTAGAGTACCATAAGAAAAGAATATACAGCAGTATTTAATTCAACTACACTACGGTTTTTAACCTTCAGCTACTTCCGTGTCCGAAGCGGAGGCCTCTGCACAGCCTGGCCATTTCCTAGATCTGCTGGCCAGTTCGCAGAGCCGTCGGCTGGACGAGCAGCGGGTCAGTGTCAGCAATCTCCCGGGTCTCCGGCTGGACCAGCGCCGCAGCCAGGACGTCCTCAGCAAACTCATGGCCGCGGCCGATAGCAAAGAACCAGATGAAGACTTCTTCGACATGCTGATTAAGAGCCAGGTAAATGTGGTTAAAGAGGCTGAAAGTCTTGATTGTGGTTTTGGGCTCTACTAGAATAGTTTTTCATGCTTGAATGTTCAAAAACACATTGTTTTTCACATATTCTCCATTGTTGCAGCCGTTCTGGCCCTTATACCCTCATTCACTTTTCCTCACATTACTCCACTTATATAGTTCACTTGAGGGGGTGAATGAGAACAAGAGAGTGTATTCAGTCAATTCGCTTTTGCATAGTTTGTGCTGTTTAATAATTATTTGAAACTTGGCTAACTGACTGCTCTAGACTAGTAGTAATAAAAAGATTTATCTTGAACACTGTCATGTCTAATCCTTAATTAAACAATTTAATAATCACTTAAAAAGGAATTTATACCTGTGTGATAAGCGGACAAGCGGTTTGGAAAATGAATGTATGGATGATTGAATCAAATCAGAGGCCAGACTATTTCAATTTTGTGTATTTTTTTTTTAAAAATCAATTCTTAAATGTTAAATAAAGCAACATGGTATAAAGATGAAAATGACTCAAATTTTACTTTCAATTCCTTTTACATTCTCCAAGGTATTAACATTTCTCATAACTCCACGTAGGACGTTTCTGTTCATAAATGTGGCAGTAGTAATGCAATATTTAGAAAATGTACTCTTGAAACTTGAAAACAAGTACTTCAGTACTTTTACTTAAAGGGATACTCCACTTTTTTTTGGAAATAGGCTCATTTTACCACTCCCCCAGAGTTAAACAGTTGAGTTTTACTGTTTTCGAATCAATTCAGCTTATTGTCTGATATTTAGAAGAAAATCATTATACAGACAGTTTCTGGTCTCATTGACTTCCATAGTATATTTTTGTCCTACTATGGAAGTCAATGAAACCAGAAATCATAGATATGTATATAAAGGCTAGATGTGTTACGGCGGAGTTTCCATCGTCCTCACCGGCGGCCATCTTGTCACAGACAAGCTGATGTAAGATGAGTGGTCAGCGCGAACACAAATAATCTTATCTCGTTGAAATCTTGACGGATTTACAAACGGTTTGGTTTCTTACAAACGTTATTAACGTGGCTATAATTATCTGGATGATTATTTATTTATACACTTTTTATTCATAAGTATGCAGTGTCATAACTACATCTCTGACATTTATAACAAACCAAACCATTTGAAAACCGGTAGAAAATTGAGCAAGTAATGGTCATTTAAATAGTACATGTACCATTAACACAATGTTACGAGTGAGCGAGCTGCCTGTGACAAGATGGCCGCCAGGTGCAGACGTCGACCTCCATTGGCCAGCAGCGTGGACGACATATCTAGCCTTTATATAGATATCTATGCCAGAAACTGTCTGGTTAATAGGGCTGGGTATTGAGACAAATTTCACAATTCGATTCGATTTCGATTCGATTCAATATCGATTATTTTGGATATCAGTTACAATAAATGGCAATTTTTCTCAAGGGAATCAGATCTCTTAAATGCTGTAAACTATGGTCTACAAATATAGTCTAGTTGTAGCCTACTAGGCTTCATTAGCCTAATATGAAGCTAATAATTAACTGTTTTGTAGCTATACAAACACTTAAATTACACTTTTATTTATTTTTATAATAAGAAGATTATATGAAATATAAACATTTAAATGGTGGCTGTCATAAAAAACTTGCCATATTTATTCAAATATGCATTAAATATTGAAGAACACTAACGAGTGTGGACTAACGAGTTTATGTGGGTTTTCTGAGGTAAATATGACGATACATGACATTGATTACAAGCTGTTTAACTGACGTCTTTCCACGGTTGAAACGCAGATTGAGCGAATCAATGTGACATGATACGGATTTAGATAAGTTGTACTCTATCTGAAACACACTTTCAGATGCTCATTCATGTTTATTTCGCGCTGTGACTGGAAGAGAGATCAGCGCTGCTGCTTCTCTTGAGCGCCGCCAGAGCGATCTCACGCCACAGCGCCAAAACGCTATTTATGTTTTTGAATTTCTAAAGAAAGTGGACGTAAATTGAAAATTGAGACTTTGTTTCATATCAATAGTAACAAAGGACAAAGATTATTGCGATTGGATGCGCGCAGCCGCGATAAAACCTCTCATTCATTCAAATGAAACAGGATGACTAATCGATTCTTGAGATTTAAGAATCGATATCGGTTTGTAAAAATGAGAATCGATTAATATCGAGAAATCGATATTTATTACCCAGCCCTACTGGTTAATAATATTCTTCTAAATATCAGACAATCAGCTGAATTGATTCGAAAACAGTAAAACTCAACTGTTTAACTCTGGAGAAGTTATAAAATGAGCCTATTTCCAAAAAAAAGTGGAGTATCCCTTTAAGTAGACATCTGAATGTAGTACTTGAATAAAATTTAGCAAGGGGTATCTGTACTTTTTCTCAAGTAGTAAAGCTGTGTCCGCCTCTGAATATTATCAAATATTACATTTCAGTCATTTGAAAGCATGTGTTGAGTGTCTGTTTTGGACTTGCACAGGGATCCAGACTGGATGATCAGAGGTGTGCTGCTCCTCCTCCCCCCACCAGAGGCCCTACAGTCCCAGACGACGACTTCTTCAGCCTCATCCTTCGCTCACAGGCCAAACGGATAGATGAGCAGCGCGTCATATTACCATCAGACCAGTCCTGACTCCTGACTGACCTGCCACTCATCGATCAATGCCTTGTTGACAATCAGACCCTACATGATGTTGTCCCTTCTTGCTTAACATGAAGATTTTTGCTTGAGGAGATGCACAAAGTTTTGTTAAAATTTCTACAAATGTGACCTGAACTGGATTCAGACGGGTTTGTGCAGAATAGATGCGTATTCAGAATCAGACCAAGACCGCAGTCTCGTTCTCAGGGATTCAGTACAATGCACTGAATGCATTTCATTCACCTGGATAACTGGATGGACTTGATCAGCTGTTACTGGACGGTAGATTCAGACAATTTTATATACACAGTATAAATATATATATATATATATATTTTAACACTAAACTTAGTATCAGTTCTGTTTTCGGTTGTTTGACTTGAAATATGTTTTATATTGACTTTTAATACCTGCGAACTGTCAATTCAACTATCAAACTGTCAAAAAAGTCTGGATTTATGTGAATATATATATATATCAGTCAAGAATGTATTACTTTTTTTAAAATGACAAGAGGAATAAAGCCTCATCACAAATGGACACAGACACAGACAGTTTAGTATGTTGGGAAGATTTTATTTGATGCTGAAGCTACACAGGACAGAGTAACCATGAAACAATTATTTGAGTTTTCAAAAGAATGAGGAAAAAACAAACAATCAAAAATGAAAAGGAAAAATAAGACTTGATTATGATCAATGATTAACTAGGTAAAGCCCATAAATTCCATCTCTGAAAATACTACTAAGTAGAAGAGTAAAATGTGATTAAGATAAGGAGACCGTGATTAAATGCATCATCAGCGGTTTAAGGTTTACAGATTGTAGGTAAAGTGAAACTAATACATGCTATTCAATTCTGCTTTCTATTGAGTGGAGCCGTGCCGGTGATTCGATTGGTTAATCAGGCCTGTTTGACCACAAGGTTGGTGAATCCATGGACCTGAGTGAGCTGAGGACAGTCGAATGAGGCCAGAAGTTTGTGGGGTCCGTGACACCTGGGAACAAACTTCTCCGTCAGGACCACAGTGGCATGTCCGGCAATGTCACTGAGGGAAAAAATAAGAAGAATATTTAGTATTTTTTTTAAACAATTTTTTTGTTATATTAAATATTTACAAACTGCATTTCAACTCATGATATAATATTCCTATCATTTATATTTTAATATGTTTTTAAAAACTGTGTAGAAAAATATACTATTATTTTTATATTTTAGTATTTTTTCTAATCATTTCATTTTAGAGATTAAACCATTAAAACTAACTATTATTTAATATATCTAATTTATATTTTTGTTAATTAAATATTCACACATTTATATTAGTTTGATTGTATACATTTCTTTTTTTTAAATACCAGTATTTTAGATTTAATAGTAACAAACTGTATAAAACAATATTATATAATATTACAATATAGAATTATATTATAATATACTTTTTTTAGATTAAATAAGATCACAACACAATATTATTTAATAACTAAAATTTTTATATTTTAATATGTTTTATTAGATTTAATAATCTAAAACTGAATAGCAACACAGAAAGAGTGTTGAGAGACAATTCAGTGAAAATGAATTTAATCATTTAAATATTATAGTGTCTTACCCATAGTTCACAATTCTGGGTTGCTTCAGTCCGAGTCCCACAAAGCGGAATACAGGGTTCCTCAGGACACAAGCCAGTGGATTCTGGAAGGTGATTTTGACCGCCACTTCTTGACCCAGGACAGCATCACATACAGGCTGAGAAGAACCACATCCAAGACACAATTTTAGCATGAAACCATTTCAACTGATCAACAGAAGAAGTTGAATACTTTAAACTCACAGCGAGGACCAGATCTGGAGTGCGCAGTCTGAAGCTGTACTGGGTGGCCAGAATCTGCTTAGTCTGAGCGACGTGTCCAAAGAGGTTGAGCATCAGTGGGGCGTGATCCACCAGGTGCTCCTTATACTCGTCATAACTCAGGGTCCATTCCATAGGTTTGCCTATAGTGGGAAAAGTGATGTGCTTTTATTACAGATTGTGTTGAAATGTGTGTGAAACTCAAACTTGATCATTTCTCACATTCAGAGGGCTTGAGCTCGATGCAGGTCTGGTCTCTCTTCAGGAAGGTCTTCCTGACTCCGGTGTAGTACATGGCTGCCGCATGGCTGTGGAGGGTGACGCTACGAGGTGAGCTGCATTTGTTCTTTAGATTGATGGAAAGCACGGCGTCTCTTCCCACACACACTGCTTCATCCTTCAGGCTGACTTCACAGACGACATCCTCAGGGCAGGGCAGTGGGTACGTGCATCTCCTGGAGCCGTGACGAACGGCTGTCTCCAAAGCAGCACAACTCTCAGTAGAACCTGATCAATGGAAGCAGGAGGAGATGTCACAGGTGAGACTATGAATCTTAACCAAATCTTTTAAGAGGCATGCGTGTGGTTTTTACCCAGTGGGTATTTGTAGAGGTTTGTGATATCCACACGCTGATCTGAGCCGACGGCCTTGGTGCTGATGCAGTGACCGACTACATCCTTCTCAACGTGGACGACACCAAATGTTCCATCGCATTTCCTCTGCCAGTAAACTTTATCACTGTTCACCTAGAACACAAGGAGACAAACAGGGATTATAAGTCATTATATGTGAATCTCTGTATGACAGAGTGCTATATTAAAGGATTTGACGGACTTCTGCGAAAAGGAAGGGCACGTCATGCTTCAGGAAGGTCTGTCCACTGCGGATCGCAGCAACAGATGTTGGGCCGCAGCGGAAGAAGCCCTGGCTGGTCATCTGAGGAGTGGCATCAACCACCTGCCAACCTCCAAAACCAGATGGCAGGTCGGGACGAGCCATCCAGGCCTCATTCCACACGTGGTAGTTCCTACACGAAGAAGACATTCACTTCATGCATATTCAGAGGAACTTTTGGTGACATCACAAAGGTTGACGATACTTACCAGATTGAATCACGGTTCATGTCATCAAGCAGCTGAAATTTCTCATCAAAATAGACGTCCCTTGTCAAACAAACGTCAGTGTCATGAGCAGAACCGAAGTTTGTGACCGGACGGACGGGGATGCCCAAACATCTCAACACTACGAGAAGAAGAATAAGTGCGTTACGTCTACAATCCCTTTCTCAACCCTTATTCTCTCCTTGTCCATTCTGCCTGAACTCTTACGTGTGTTGGTGACTCCAGCGAAGGCCAAGCTCTGTCCGTATTTGACAGGTACTCCTCCACATTTGTGGAACTGTTTCAGGATGGCACTGCTGCTGCACCAGGATGTTGGAGCAATTCCGTCTCCATAGCAGTTGGACCAGTTACCCACCAACACGCCACAGTCTTTGTTGGCAATAACCTGTTAAAGAGAGAAGATTGAAAATGTTGTTTTTATGCCTCAAGCTTCATTTAACACCAAATTCAGGAAGAAAACGAAATACCCACCATGTCCGACACCACTCTGGAGATGTTGATGGGGTTTCTCCATCCTGAGCAAGGGGTAGAACTCTTCTCCAGCACAAACATACAAGCAGCCAAGACTCCCTCCTCAAACTAAGAATCAGATGACAGAGTGAGGAATTAAAATGTTATGATGTACAGCAGGGGTCACAAATTTCATTGAATCCAACATACTAAGCTTCATTGTGTAATTACTTGGATTTTAATCCTATAACAAGCTCAACTGCTCTAAAACAGATTCACCGAAGCATTCGCTGGAATGATTCGAACCGATTACATCAGACTCTTTTGAACAGTTCTTTTAAAGAATCGAATGAATGGAACCAATTACATCAGAGTCTTTTGAACAGTTCTTTTAAAGAATCAAATGAATGGAACCAATTACATCCAAGTCTTTTGATCGGTTCTTTTAAAGAATCAAATGAATGGAACCGATCACATCAGAGTCTTTTGAACAGTTCTTTTAAAGAATCAAATGAATGGAACCGATCACATCAGAGTCTTTTGAACAGTTCTTTTAAAGAATCAAATGAATGGAACCGATCACATCAGAGTCTTTTGAACAGTTCTTTTAAAGAATCAAATGAATGGAACCGATCACATCAGAGTCTTTTGAACAGTTCTTTTAAAGAATCAAATGAATGGAACCAATTACATCCAAGTCTTTTGATCGGTTCTTTTAAAGAATCAAATGAATGGAACCGATTACATCAGAGTCTTTTGAACAGTTCTTTTAAAGAATCAAATGAATGGAACCGATCACATCAGAGTCTTTTGAACAGTTCTTTTAAAGAATCAAATGAATGGAACCGATTACATCAGAGTCTTTTGAACAGCTCTTTTAAAGAATCAAATGAATGGAACCGATCACATCAGAGTCTTTTTAACAGTTCTTTTAAAGAATCAAATGAATGGAACCGATTCTATCAGAGTCTTTTTAACAGTTCTTTTAAAGAATCAAATGAATGGAACCAATTACATCAGAGTCTTTTGATCGGTTCTTTTAAAGAATCATAGTAACCACATTCGTTTCAGACTTCAAGCTCCCGACTCCGGTAAGATTGATCTCGTTTCATTGCCTGCTCTGCTTGTTTAGTGTTGTAATGACACCTCAGATTGTATTCCCTGAGTCCCGTTTAAAGACCATAAACGTGGATTCATAAACTTAGATTCAATGGTCAAAAGTTAGTAAAACATTAAAAGGATGGGATTTCGCATAGCAATCACTTAACATATGATATTTGTAAATAAAATATTTCAGTCAGACGCTCAAATTAAAAGTACGCCAATCGACTTCATCAACGTAATATGCTTCCGGTTCATAGATTGTTACTGGGAGCGATCTGGTTTTGTAATAGATAAACCCCGTGGAATATATTACGCTAATGTTTAATAATCATTTTAGAGAACTACTTTGTAACATTTATAGGCTAAACCAAAAGTTTTCAGTTTTACAAATAGTTGGGGTTTCCCCATTGAAATCAATTGGATTCACACCAATTGTAAACTCTAGCAATGAAAGTTTAACTCTTACTTGACCAAAGTTCCATGTCCTGCTGCCAATCTGCTGTTTAGTACCATAGTAGATTCGGCCCATGTCGTTCAGCACATACTCGACTCTCTCCGCCTCTTCTTGCAGGTACACAGAGTCATCTGAGGACAGAGAACAATCATAATGTTCTTTCTCTCCGCATTCAACTTAATCTTCATATAATCAGGTTTCAGGTGTGGAATGAAACGTGTACCTTTGCACCAGGGGTTGAACAGCATGAAAATGTCATTTTCAGGAACATATGGTAAAGCGAATCTTCCTCCTGTACAGTGAGTCACGACACTGAGTTGGTATCGGCCAACGCAAGCAGTCGGGACAGACTGCACACACAGTTTGAGTCGGTTTTGGCTTCTTTCAACAATCTTTGCCCCCCAGCAGTCTTTCTTGAACTCGTCCACAACTGAAACGACCACATGAGTGCCGTCTCGGACGGATGCGATATGACCTGTAAAGCACACAGAGGAACAAGTGATTCCAGTGAGGGTAGAAATGCAAGTCCTATTTTGTCATCCACCCAAACAGTAACTAACCTAGTTTCAGCTCCAGGTGGAGTTTGTCACAGCTGGGATTGAAAGGACGGCACAGATCAACCCACATATTGAAGTACTGTCCTCTGCGGACGATGAGGTGATCATCTGAGAAGCATTGCGTGTGATGCTCCAGACGATTCTGTCCGGTCCTGCACTTGATGAGGTCGACTTTACTCACCCGGAGGATGGTTTCTGGGAAAGCAGAAGATATCAAACGTATCATTCATTGTGTTATTACACTAACACATTTCCCATCATGCATTGCAGGACAAAGATCTATGACTCTTACCTTCAGTTCCACAGACTCGCTTGACTGTGCAATCTTCCACGGACTTCTTGACGACAACTTCCTTAGTCTCATATTCATGGCATGGAGCGACATACTTGCAAGGATTGGGGTAGGGAGTAGCACAGGGGTTAACGTAAGGACTGTAGTATGGAGTAGCGCAAGGGTTGTAGTATGGAGTGGCACAGGGGTTAGCGTAAGAGTAAGAGTAAGGGTGAGCGTAAGGATAGAGGTCGGAGCAGGGGTTCACACAAGGGTTAACATAACTTTTAGTGTAAGGATAGTCCACATATTGGTTAAAGTGAGGATAATATTGAGCCGATGGGTGGCATGTTGTCTTCCAGCAGTCGTCGCCTCGCAGTTTGATGGCCGGGAAGCGGCCGACGGTGCAGAGGTTTTTGTATGGGTTGAAGGCGAAAGGCATGCTGGGCAAAAAAAAAAGAAGTGAGATTGGTTATTACATGGTTCACAATTCATAAATATGGTCTCTTGGATGCTTCATTAGGCTGTTTTCGAAATGATCAGACCAATACTGTAACGTACATGTAGTTTCATAATACTAGAAAAGGACTTTATAAATAATAACCTGTTAAATTAATGAAAACAGCCTTTTCTAATTATAGCAACATGTTTCAAATAAAGTCAAAGTTGATTACTTACATGTTTTTAGTCCTTGCACTGGTTTCAGAGACTGAACCGAGAAGTTGATGTACTGTAGTGAACAGTAAGTCCTAGATGAACCAGCCCGTACTTTTTCTCCACTGAAGACGGGATATTTATACTCCATCCCCATCTCCACCCCATCCACAGCTCATAGCAGAAGAATGCGGAGAATTGGACTCTCAGGAAAGGGATCAAAGGATTTTGAGTCACGTTCATTTTAATTGACTCTTTAATAGAATTAATTGGACATAATAACATCTTGGTTTAATTGTTCTGACTTTTTAAACTGCACAGTCATTTTTCTTGCCAGATCAGGTCAGTTCATTTAAGATGCTGACGTTGGTCATAATAATAAATCCTTTATTTATTCATACTAAAGGTATAAGAAACATTCTGTCTGCATATTTCTGACCCAGTTTGTTAATCTTTTTTTACATTGTTTAAGAGAGTAGTGAGTCGTATAATGATTTATGCATTTTGTGCAATGTCGAATCAGAGAGCCGTGTGATCAAATGAAGAAATGAAGCTCCTTTCAACAAAGAGATTAGATCAGGGCGATCATTCGAAGGCGAAATTGTCTCAGGCACACAGTAATATTGCATGGTTAAATTGCAGCACAGTTAATTGTCAATTATTCGTACATTTATCTCCGATGGTCATCGGAACAAGGACGACTCTTTGATGTGTGACATTTATTGAGTTATTAAATAGAATGACTCTTTGAGAAAATTTGAGAATGAAATTCACATGCGAAAGAATTTATAAATGAATATGCCGTTTTATTTCCATATTTTATTCTTAAAGGAGTAGTTCACTTTTGAAAAAACTTTTGCTGATAATCATCCAAGATATCCGTCATTCTTTCTTCAGTCGAAAAGAAATTAAGGTTTTTGATGAAAACATTTCAGGATTTTTCTCCATATAATGGACTTCAATGGGAACCAAACGGTTAATATAAAACATTTAATAAAAAAAATTAATATTTATAATATTAATATTAACTAATATAATAATTAATAAAATATTAATTTAATATATTAATATTAACATTTAATAAAAAAAAACAACAACAAAGTTTAATTTTATAAGCTCAAATTGTCGCCTTGCTCTGTTCTGTGAACTCATTTATCAAAATGAACAAATCTTTTTTTTGTGTCATTTGGATCATTCAACGAACGAAATGAACGAGTTGACTCAGGAAAAGATTCGTTCGTTTTGATGAACGAGTTCGAGCGACCATTTGAGCTTATAAAATTAAACTTTGTTGTTGGTTTTTTTTTTTATTAAATGAGCAATCGTTTCGCTTGATAAGACCCTTATTCATCGTCTGGAATCGTTTAAAGCCTTTGAACAGTTTGCAGTTTGCACTGAAAGTGTCTTTTGGACCTTGAACCGTTTGGTTCCCATTGAAGTCCATTATATGGAGAAAAATCCTGCAATGTTTTCATCAAAAACCTTAAAAAGAAAAAAATGACATGGATATCTTGGCTGACATGGGTTGAGTAAATTATCAGCAAAAGTTTTTTTTTTAAAGTGAACTACTCCTTTAATTCTTTCCCCCCTTTTTGCTGACAGAGAGTGAAGTGTTGTTCCAGACCCCACGACGTCTCTTAGTTGACAAGTGGAAGTAAGGATCTGATGTCATAACTTCAAATCAGTATGTGCCCTTACATTAATGAACTACGTTATAGAAGACAGTGTCAATCAAGGATGAATTTTGTCTTTTTCTGAGACTATAGAAACATTATCTGATCACCATCCCCAACCTGAAGCTCATGCTCCACCCAGAAGGCGTCTGGGAATATGATGAGAAATAGCCTTTAATAAGACCAATTAAGGTAAGTCAAAATGCCCTAAAAAATACCAATACCTCAGCAATTTAGCTAATTATTACTAGAACAATGACTCTGCAAGAGCTTTAGCAAATTGATATGACATAACTGTAGTCTATCTAGAAATTCTGGTCAGACTTGACCAAAGACAATAAAAAGGCCATATTCTTTCTTTCTTCCCATCCATCGATCGTCAATAAAAGCATACGAGTAAATTGAGGAAAGTCAAATGATGCGAGTTCAAGTGGTCAGGCTCACTGTGGTCAGGCTTGAAATGTCACTGAAAAACAGTGAGAAAGAATGAGAGATAATTATTGCATGACCACTACAATTACAAAAGCGTCTCCCATTTCGTTGTGTTCATCAGACGACAATAATTTAGTTAATCAGCGAAATCAATATAATATGGGGAGGTGTGGCACAGTAGATGAAGAAAAGCTGCATTTGCAAAACTCTCAAGGAGTGCTTAATGAGCTTTCAACACTGAACTTCTAACAAACAGTGTTGCCCTGAGAGGATTGTCAACCATGATCTCTTAAATAACTCTTATTATGTATTATAATAGCATACACTTATTATAATGCTTAAGTCAGTCATACCCATTAAATACCAATTAAACATTCTGGCATTCTGCCGTCCCAGTCTATCAATCATGACAGCAGAAAAACTTGTTTCTGTGCTTCATCTCTTCCAATGGGCATAGCGATTTATTACGGAATAAAACACTATCTCTTAATGAGCTTTCCCTTTAGATCGCTGCATGCATATACATATATATGAGCTGTGTGCATGCATGAAGTTCAGTATTTTGTGCAGCATTTGTTTTGAAAGCATAATGAACTCATTTCAGATCTTTATTATGCTTGTTCATTTATCCATTTAACATTTGCACTTGTTTCATGCCTTAAAGTTTAGATGTGCAGTGTTGGGAATTTTTTTAAAGGGTACATATCATGCTTTTAAATCATTCATTTTTACATCTAAATCATACCGTTGTGGTCTATATAAAACATAACTGCAATGCTTGGGTGTGAATTCCTCATTATTATAGCTCCAAAGACCCCTTTTCTACCCCTTTTCTGATGTGCGTCTTTGAGCGACCCGTTTCAATGCATCCCCTTTAAATAAAAAGGAGATGCGTCATACCCCGCCCGCTCTCCAGGTCGATGAGTTCACGGTCGGTTCAACTCCTCACGTTCGGCCATTATTGTTGTAGTTTGATTAGAGATATACGATACCTTCGAAGAACATTTTTATTCATGTTTATCTCATTTGGAGGTATTCATTTATTGCTTATGTGCATCAAGTTTGATATTATCAGCAGGTCTGCTTTGACATCACACAACAAGCGCCATATTTAATTTTTGACAGCAATTAAAACCAGTGAGGGATAAAATGCAGTGTGTTCAATGGATTGTACTGTTGTCAATCCAATCGTTCAGCTGATGAAATGTCTTTTACGAAAAAATAAACTCAAAAAACTTTCAGTAGACAAAAAAATCCATAAAACTCTAGTTGTGAGTTGTGAAAATGATGTGATCTAGGATCTCTATACAGTGTGTGCCATTAAGTCTATCCCTCACAGCCTCATTTTCACCTGTTCTGTCCATCAAAGTTGATGTATTTCATAGGAAATATCAAAACAAACTAGATTAAAAAGTTCGTCGGGACAAACTTTAAGTTGGCTTGTGAAAGTTTGACCAGAAAGTTTGAAGTAGTTTGAAATTTAAATTAGTTTAAAGTTAAATTCATTTAAAGTTTAAATTAGTTTGAAAGTTTAAAGTAGTTTAAAAATTAGTCTAAAGTTTAAATTAGTTTAAACAATAAGTTAAAATGATTAGCATGTGCTAACATCATGCTAACATGATTAGCATGTTGGTAGCATGTTTGTAGCTAGATGCTAGCATGACTAGCATGATGCTAGGCAGTTGCTGGGGTGTTCTGGTTGGTTGCTATAGTGTTGTTAGGTGGTTGCCAGGGTGTTCTGGGTGGTTACTAGGGTGTTGCTTGGCAGTTCCTAAGGTATTCTGGGTGGTTGCTAGGGTGTTGCAAGGGGGGCTCTGAGTTGTTGCGATGGTGTTGCTAGGTGGTTGCTAGGGTATTCTGGGTGGATGCTATGGTGTTGCTAGGTGGTTGCTAGGGTGTTCTGGTGGTTGCTAGGGTTTTGCTAGGGTACTCTGGGTGGTTGCTATGGTGTTGCTAGGTGGTTGGTAGTGTTCACATATGGTTACTATAAAGTTTTTATAATGTTCTTCACATGTTGTTGGCATGATTTATCAATTTAATTGACATCTATTTAACATTTAAAAACACACCTCAGAGATAGACACAAATATTGAGTCTTTTGCGACTTGTGAAACAGGCAACACCTTTAGTTTGGTGTCCATATTGATACTCTTGCGTAATTGGCATTAAAATGGTGTAAAAAAAATATAATTTTAGACGTCGTTAAGTAATTTTGTATTTTAGTGGTGTTTTGAGGAGCAGCGTTTAGTAGCGCCAATGCAGTTTGTGGTTTTACTGTCCAACAGAATGAACCAGACTGCTATCTCTGAGAGAATAAAATAATATTTGCACATGATTTAAATGCAGTTTCAGTCACCAAGTTTTAATCTTAAGGATTTTCATCTGACCAATATAAATGATGGTACAGTATAGGGTGAATACAAGTAGGTCACTTAATCTCAATAATTACAGTATGTGCAGTATGTGAAGTTCATCCTAAACTGGTATGACGGTATTTTTCGTAAAAGATAGATTTCAAGAAAAAAAAAAACCTCATCATGACTCACCATGAAAATTATTTTTTTTTCACACAGTGGGCAGTTTGGGTGGAGTGGAGGTCATTATATACCGGGGTGTAGCAGAGAGAAAAACATTTGAAGCAACAGTATTTCATCCCAGAAAGACTCGGGTGTTTCACACACCGAGCTCTCTGTAAATCAAAAGTTGCAAGTTACATTCATGGACAAGGACGTCTAACATGTAAGTATCAACACATTCATTATTTAAAGATTGTGGCCTTGTTTTATTTAGTATATAATCCTTGCATTTAGAAAACTATAGCATTTTATGTAAGAGAAAAGGAATAAAGTACCAGTCAAAAGTTATACTTTATTTTTCAGATTTTCTCAATTCTCATAGAATTAGAGTCCCATCTTCTAAAAAATAAAGCAATTGTAGATAGCATTTATTTCGAATGAGCTTTGTTTTATACTTTGTCCATTCGCTCTCTCACCTTTGAAGCTTAAAGTATGCCTTGTGGAAATGTGTGCACTGGAACCAAAAGCGGGAAGGGGAACGCAGCCAGTGCAGTGATTTCAATGGCATACAAGCATGTGGAAGGCATGGTAAGCGCTTCAAACTCTTCTGACTGCACTGCATAGTGGGAATGAAATGTCAAATTTTAAGGTCTGATTGTTTTTTGTTCTCAGATGCAGTGCTGCAGGTGTGCTCTATTGACCTCCTTAAAGGCAGAAAAGGACAAAATGGACTGGAGCGCACATTCACACACATTATCATGAGAATGATCACCTCATCATCCGTAGAGGACAGTGTTTCCAGATATGGGTTGAGCTGAGACGAGCTTTTATTCCGAACAGAGACAAACTTCATCTGGAGCTGACACTTGGTCAGTTATAGCCTTCTTTGCCAACCACATGACAAAAAGTTTATTATTTTCACCCTCACTGGAATCACTTGTTCTTTTTGTGCTTTACAGGTCACATCCCATCCATCCGAGACGGCACTCATGTGGTCGTTCCAATAGTGCAAGAGTTCAAGAAAAACTGCTGGGGGGCAAAGATTGTCGAACAAGGCCAAAACCGAATCAAACTGTGTGTGTCTACTATGGGACTCCAGCAGATTGGCTGCAGGACATGGAACTTTGGTTAAGTAAGAGTTAAACTTTCATTCATATACAGTATTACAAAACTCAACCCTGAGATTTGCGTAGAAATCCTGAGATTTTGTAAACTATTACTAGAGTAACTGGTTAACTGGCTGAAATGTTTCTCTATCTAATTTTTTTCTCTCTGATCTGTGATGCATGTACCCCTTGCTCAGGATGGAGAAGGCCCATCAACATCTCCAGAGTGGTGTCGGACATGGTGGGACATTGAAGTTAATTTCAATTAACGAGTTTATTATCTCAGAATTACGAGATAATTTTTCATGGAAAAAAGTTTTTGCTCTGTTTTTATAAATTAACGAGTTCATTTCAATTAACAAGTTAATTATCTAAGAATTACGAGATAAGTGTTCATGGAAAAAAGTTTTTGCTCTGTTTTTATGAATTATCTCAAAAATTAAGTAACTCATTAATTCATGAAAACAGAGGTTTTCAAGAAAAATATATCTCATAATTCTGAGATAATTAACTCATTAATTCAGAAAAAACATAGCAAAAACCTTTTTCCATGAAAAATTATCTCGTAATTCTGAGATAATTAACTCGTTAATTCAGAAAAACAGAGTAGATTTTTTTTCTTCAAGTGAATGCAATACTCTCCCGTAAATTAGTCATCAATTTGCCAAAACATATATATAATTAATATATATAATTATATATATATATATATATATATATATATATATATATATATAATTTTTATTGTTATGATACAATTGTATTAAGATATGTAATATGTGTTGCTATATAGTTTTAGTATGTAATAATTCTCTTTTTCCCAGTGATATTGCAAGCCTGGCCACAGTGAATCTGACAGAGACATTTATTCAACTACTGGCGTCCCACGACTGTCCTCAACACAATCAAGTGGTGTTGCCAACATTACTGTTAAACAGTGAAAAAATACTTAAATTAACTAAAGAGAAGAAATGGCTGTTTTTTTGAACTGTAAACTTGTTCATCATGATCTCAGAGGAGATTGCACTCAGGGTGTTTTACGCGTGACATTTTATAAACTTATAATTATAATATATATATATATATATATATATATACTTATATTTTATAATTATAAGTTTATAAAATGCCATATATATATATATATATATATATATATATATGACTATAGAGTATATATGAGTATATAGGCAAGGCAAGTTTATGTATATATATATATATAAGTATAGTATATATTATATATAAATTATATATTTATATATACTATACTAGTATATATAAATATATAAGTATATATAATAAATATAAGTATATTTTATAAATATAAAATATTTATAATCTTGTCATGAAAAAAAAAATCTGAATAAAAGCCCTTAAAAACTTACATATTTTTGGTTGTTTTTATGGTGAATATTTCCTTCATTTAGCCATTTTGTTAATTATGTGCTGCCTCAGCATCAAGAAAAATGTCAATAATTTATTTCACTTTGATATGTGATTATGATAAGTCTGTAGTACTACTGGGTAATAATAATAATAATCTGGACCAACATTGAAAATGGAATTGTTGAATTGTCAAACATCCATTATGAAAGCTATGCCTACAGTATGTTGCAATAACATTCAAATTATAATAAATGTATATGCATAAACACACCCATCTCTACGTGTCATTTACAGTGGCTGTGTATAATCAGTGCTGGACTATAGGTGTGTGCAAATTTACTTCAGTGTAGGTATCCAAATTTGAGTCCTTAACATACAGTATATGTATCAAGTGTTTCAGATATGTAATTATATATTGTAGGGGCTCTATATTCTAGCTGAGCCCCCAGTGTGAGTTTTTTAGTTTTAGTTTTAGAACATTACATTGGAGCATCACTTTTATTTAGTTTTTTCCACACATTTGTTAATTATATCATGAACCATATAATATTTTCCAATTATAAAATATGTGGAAGTGAATGTGTTTTGTCATTTAAACACTTGATCTATGACATGCAGTGGACGCCGCCATGTTATTTCGCACTACAATTCAGAGAACTGCATTTGTCGGATTTACATCACGTAAATACATCCATAGTCAACTTTTTAGTTTCCTATACACAATGCATATCAATAAAACACTTTGTCAAATTATAATTGATAGGATTATTATTGCAGCTTCCATCAGTTTATGGAATTTGCAACAAACTATAAATGTCCATTTAAATGTCTGAAACCTAATATAAACATTATGTGGTTAAAAACACTGAAAAGTTGCGATATAGGCACAGAGCATGTCCGTCTCTGGCTCTTATCAGTGACTCACTGAACGTTATAATCACACCGTCAAAGTTTGATTTCAATTATCGTATGCATTTATATGTATATAAAGAGAGATAATCAAAATACAGATATTCTGTGCATCTAATTTCTAATTTTATTCTACTTTTACTGATATATCATTTGCAATGAAAAGATCTATTAAATGAAAACTATCCTAAATCGAAGCATTTTCACTAGTGACCCAAATTAAATAACAAAAAATAAAATATAAAGCAAACATATATACAGTCCCGCTCAGAATTAATGGTACCCCTGCTTTTAATATGAATAAAAATGGCTGTAAAAAATAAATCTGCATCGTTTATCCTTTTGATCTTTTATTAAAAAATTGCCAAAAATCTAACCTTAAATTAAAGTAAAAGAATTGAAAGTGGGGTGGAAAATCACATTATGAAATAAATGTTTTTCTCCAAAACACGTTGGCCAAAAAGTTATGTTTATGGTTATGTTAATGTATTAATATATTACGTGCTGGGAAATTATACTTCTTGCTCTTTTGTATAACTCACACCCCTAATTGTTGTGTGCTTACTTTACAGATTTGCAATGATGAGAGAATTTTAATCTCTGTATCTGTTCACAGAATTTAATCCATCATTATTTCATTACTTATGAACCAGTAATTCTTTTATCTCTGAATATCTTTTTACTTATGTGTATTATCGTATTACTCTCATATACTCAAACATCTAGCACCAGTATTATCATAACATGTCCATGTAGCTGTTGTCATCAGAACCTGTTATACTTGTTCACAAGAATAAAGTAAATGAACATTAAAGTGACTAAATACGTGCATATTTAAAAACGAAGATGCACAAAGTAAAACGATACATGAATTATACCATTACACTAAGCAGTACACACACCCAGTGCATTAACACTTACAATGCAAACCTGAAATACATATGGTGATGATGACTTATATGTTCAGTTCGTAGTGACTCTGTTCTACTGCCCTAATTAATAACACCTAATGTGTCATATTTAATACTTATCATTGCTATGGAGTTTGAAACACATAAACTGTGACAATATAATGTGCCCTAGTAAATCTAGGTGTGAGATGGCTATGACGGTTTTGCAAAAAAAAAAAAATATTAAAACTTCAGGAAGCAGATGTTTTTGTAGTTAAAATCAAAAATAATATTTTCCAACAACGATATGTCTGTTTTTTACCTAAATTGTATATAATTTAAAAATAACAATAAGATAAGTGTCGGCCTTGAAGTAAAACATACAACTGACAATTCAATTTCATTTCATTTCCACAAAACATATCTGAGAGCCGTGAAATGATAAAGAAATATACAGAAATAATAAGCTACTTACTGTACATTTTGACATTTTAAAATTGTAAAACTAATCCATTATCTGGTAATCACACCTGTAATACTCATTAATAATGACTAAATGCCACTGCCAAACTAGTCATGGCAAGGTTACAGGTGTGATTACCAGGTAATGCATTAGTTTCACTTATATTTTTTAACATTTTATCATTTAAAATATAAAACTAATGCATTTTCTGGTAATCACACCTGTAACCTTGCCATGACTAGTTTGGCATTGTCATTTAGTCATTGTCTCCTTACTATTTCTCGATCTCTCAGTATATAACAATTAAACTAAGACATTAATTAGTCTTAAATCCCTAAAAAAACAAACATTTAAATTAACATATCACTCACCCGAATTCCTATCTTCTCACAAGAGATGTGGAATGGGTGGAGATGGACATGAAGTATATATATATCCAGGGCTGCAGAGAAAGAAGAGCTGGTTAAAGCAGTTCAAAGTAAACCAAGTTTTCGGTTCAGTTGCTCTTAAACAGGGACAAGGACTAAAACATGTAAGTAATCAACTTTGACTTCACTTCAGGTTTCTAATCTGGTTTTATTTTGCACTTATTAATTGTTTTCTGGAGCCTTTATAACGCACCAAAGGTGATTTACCTTGCATGCAGCTTGAGGTCTAGAAACATGACTTGATTTAGGTGAATACAAAAAAGGAAAAGAAAGGATTCAACAGACGTTAGTTATGTATAATCCACCTGGACTTGTCTTAATCTTAATGTATCTTTTAATTCATCCTTCACAATCTTTGTTTTTTTTTCCTGACAGGATGGCTTTTACAAACAACCCATGCCAAAACCTCTGCACCCTTGGCCGTTTCCCAGACTTCAAACTGCAGGCGGATGACAGCTTGAAAGGTGCATGCACCAACCCTTATGCTAACAGTTGCACAAATCCATGTGTAAACTCATGCGCAAATGTTCATGTGAATCCACGCGTGAACCAATTCACAAATCCTTGCGTTAACTCTTGAGCTAAACCTTGTAACTATTTATATCTATAATCAATGCCGTGATTATGAGACTAAGGAAGTTGTCATCAAGGAGTGCGTAAAAGATGGCACAAACAAACGAGAAGGTGGAGGTGATCGAGATCGTTGTCCTGAAATGCATGATGGGAATGCATTTGATATTTAATGAGCTTTCCTCTGCTTTTTCGTTTTCCCAGAAACCATCCTCCGGGTGAGTAAAGTCGATCTTCTCAAGTGCAGGACCGGACAGAATCGTCTGGAGCATCACACGCAATGCTTCTCAGATGATCACCTCATCGTCCGCAGAGGACAGTACTTCAACATGTGGGTTGATCTGTGCCGTCCTTTCAATCCCAGCTGTGACAAACTCCACCTGGAGCTGAAACTAGGTTAGTTACTGTTTGGGTGGATGACAAAATAGGACTTGCATTTCTACGCTCACTGGAATCACTTGTTCCTCTGTGTGCTTTACAGGTCATATCGCATCCATCCGAGACGGCACTTATGTCGTCGTTCCAATAGTGCAAGAGTTCAAGAAAGACTGCTGGGGGGCAAAGATTGTTGAACAAGGCCAAAACCGAATCAAACTGTGTGTGCAGTCTGTCCCGACTGCTTGCGTTGGCCGATACCAACTCAGCGTCGTGACTCACTGTACGGGAGGAAGATTTGTTTTACCATGTGTTCCTGAAAATGACATTTTCATGCTGTTCAACCCCTGGTGTAAAGGTACACGTTTCATTCCACACCTGAAACCTGATTATATGAAGATTAAGTTGAATGCGGAGAGAAAGAACATTATGATTGTTCTCTGTCCTCAGATGACTCTGTGTACCTGCAAGAAGAGGCGGAGAGAGTCGAGTATGTGCTGAACGACATGGGCCGAATCTACTATGGTACTAAACAGCAGATTGGCTGCAGGACATGGAACTTTGGTCAAGTAAGAGTTAAACTTTTGTTCATATATTCCAAAAGTGCCAAGGTTACGGTATGTCAGGAAAACCATTGATTTCAAAAGATAGCATTCCTGATGTTTCACAACTTCTAATTTCCTCACTCTGTCATCTGATTCTAAGTTTGAGGAGGGAGTCTTGGCTGCTTGTATGTATGTGCTGGAGAAGAGTTGTACCCCTTGCACAGGATGGGGAAGTCCCATCAACATTTCCAGAGGGTTGTCTGACATGGTGAGTAATCATGTTGGAAAGCCTGACCAAACGGTCTGATTTGCTCTGTTCTAGTTTGCACAGCATTTTCAATCTTCTCTCTTTAACAGGTTATTGCCAACAAAGACTGTGGCGTGTTGGTGGGTAACTGGTCCAACTGCTATGGAGACGGAATTGCTCCAACATCCTGGTGCAGCAGCAGTGCCATCCTGAAACAGTTCCACAAATGTGGAGGAGTACCTGTCAAATATGGACAGAGCTTGGCCTTCGCTGGAGTCACCAACACACGTAAGAGTTCAGGCAGAATGGACAAGGAGAGAATAAGGGTTGAGAAAGGGATTGTAGACGTAACGCACTTATTCTTCTTCTCGTAGTGTTGAGATGTTTGGGCATCCCCGTCCGTCCGGTCACAAACTTCGGTTCTGCTCATGACACTGACGTTTGTTTGACAAGGGACGTCTATTTTGATGAGAAATTTCAGCTGCTTGATGACATGAACCGTGATTCAATCTGGTAAGTATCGTCAACCTTTGTGATGTCACCAAAAGTTCCTCTGAATATGCATGAAGTGAATGTCTTCTTCGTGTAGGAACTACCACGTGTGGAATGAGGCCTGGATGGCTCGTCCCGACCTGCCATCTGGTTTTGGAGGTTGGCAGGTGGTTGATGCCACTCCTCAGATGACCAGCCAGGGCTTCTTCCGCTGCGGCCCAACATCTGTTGCTGCGATCCGCAGTGGACAGACCTTCCTGAAGCATGACGTGCCCTTCCTTTTCGCAGAAGTCCGTTAAATCCTTTAATATAGCACTCTGTCATACAGAGATTCACATACTGTATAATGACTTATAATCCCTGTTTGTCTCCTTGTGTTCTAGGTGAACAGTGATAAAGTTTACTGGAAGAGGAAAAGTAATGGAACATTTGGTGTCGTCCACGTTGAGAAGGATGTAGTCGGTCACTGCATCAGCACCAAGGCCGTCGGCTCAGATCAGCGTGTGGATATCACAAACCTCTACAAACACCCACTAGGTAAGAATCCATACATATGCCACAAAATACATACAGTACATTTGAATTGGTAAGGGATGTGGTGCAACCCATGTTCCAGACACATTATGAGGATGAGGTTTGAGTCAATAACACTCCCTAGTATGTCTTTCTCCCCCCCAAAAAATAATCACCTGGATAATAAAAGTGGAAGTGTCAATCATTTTAATGGTACATTTACCTGCTCCTGCTTCCATTGATCAGGTTCTTCTGAGAGTTGTGCTGCTTTGGAGACAGCCGTTCGTCACGGCTCCAGGAGATGCACGTACCCACTGCCCTGCCCTGAGGATGTCGTCTGTGAAGTCAGCCTGAAGGATGAAGCAGTGTGTGTGGGAAGAGACGCCGTGCTTTCCATCAATCTAAAGAACAAATGCAGCTCACCTCGTAGCGTCACCCTCCACAGCCATGCGGCAGCCATGTACTACACCGGAGTCAGGAAGACCTTCCTGAAGAGAGACCAGACCTGCATCGAGCTCAAGCCCTCTGAATGTGAGAAATGATCAAGTTTGAGTTTCACACACATTTCAACACAATCTGTAATAAAAGCACATCACTTTTCCCACTATAGGCAAACCTATGGAATGGACCCTGAGTTATGACGAGTATAAGGAGCACCTGGTGGATCACGCCCCACTGATGCTCAACCTCTTTGGACACGTCGCTCAGACTAAGCAGATTCTGGCCACCCAGTACAGCTTCAGACTGCGCACTCCAGATCTGGTCCTCGCTGTGAGTTTAAAGTATTCAACTTCTTCTGTTGATCAGTTGAAATGGTTTCGTGCTAAAATTGTGTCTTGGATGTGGTTCTTCTCAGCCTGTATGTGATGCTGTCCTGGGTCAAGAAGTGGCGGTCAAAATCACCTTCCAGAATCCTCTGCCTTGTGTCCTGAAGAACACTGTATTCCGCTTTGTGGGACTCGGACTGAAGCACCCCAGAGTGGTTAACTATGGGTATAATTATAATAATGAATTGGTCGATTAAATAATACATATTTTGAGCATTATTCTGAATTATATAGAATTATTTTAAAATATATAAATTATAGTGATATTAAATGATCCCTTTTCTTCCTCAGTGACATATCAGGACATGCCACTGTGTGCCTGACGGAGAAGTTTGTTCCCAAATGTCACGGACACCACAAACTTCTGGCCTCATTCGACTGTCCTCAGCTCACTCAGGTCCATGGATTCACCAACCTTGTGGTCAAACAGCACTGTTAAACCAATCGAATCACCGAAAGGGAGGAAATTTTGATTGGAAAAGAATTAAATGCTTCAATAAAATTTTCCAATGTGTGTTTGGACGCACTGTTTCACTTCATCTAACTAAAGACAAATGTTACTGATTGATTGTGGCCTTGGAACTTGTTTTCGAAATATTGTGATTTACATCCTGTTGATTAATAATAACTTCCCTTCTTTAAGTAATGTATTGGGATATGGGATTAGTAATTCCTTCTAATGCAGATTATGATTATGTCTAATTGAAATGAATGAAATAAGAAAAAAGCTATTTTCTCATGCTAGGCTAACTAATGTCAATGAAAACCAATGAAACTTGTGGCTTATTTTCTCTGAATCACTTTATTGTTGATCCTGTTAATCGCAGCATTAATAAAACATTTTAAATGAATCATGTCTGTTAATGATGTGATATTATGATTTATTATAAATATATAACATCATAAAATGTTGTTTTCACACAGCTCTTAAAGGTAGCGTCAATTTTCTTTTAGATTATTGGAACAGATAGATATGAGACAAACACATTTAAATGATCAATTATTATTGCAATTATTAATAGTATTATGAGCTATATACTGTGTTAGTGTGGTCATAACTTTTACACATCACGCTAGCTGACTGACAATCTTACATTTTGTGGTAAATTGGTATTCAATGATGTTATTTCGTTATTCATATATTCTCATGATAAAATAAAAAATCACTATAATTTGACATTAAGTAAAATCGCCACACCTTCAAAAATCCCGCCTCTGTCGTCGTCAGCCAGCCAGGTTACTGTGCGCGCGCAGCTCGTGTCAGTTTTTAACGTATTCCGCTCACAAAAGATAACATTTGGAAATGAAACCTTCGTGTAAAAGGTTAAAAATGTTTTCAGCTGATTGGAAGCTCGTATACTACCTGAAATTCAACAGTAGCAGAAGTTGTCTGCCATAGAATTAAAATGATGTTCCAAAGTATACCATATGTTATGCATATTCAAATAACTCAATGGTAGCCCAATTTCGACTGTAAACAGCCTACTAACCTAAAAAAAAAACGAATAATAGATAATTATAATAAAACTATATTAGATAAGGTAAAATATTTCAAATGGCCGATTTTTAACTCTTGAGTTGATGAATTATGGAAGTAGCCTACTGTAATATTTTCTGGTGGTCCACGCTTTTTGTTTGAAATATGTTTGTTTTTTTAATACCGAGTTATTGTTATGTACCAAACTTTAATTATGTAGAATGCTTAAGTGGCAAACCGATCCGTTCATGTAATATTTCTCGGCGTTTTAAACACTAAAAACACGATAAGAGTGTATTTCATGGTATGAGAGAGTATTTTTGATGGTTCTGCGCAAGTTTTGCGCACCGCCGATGCGCACGAACACACACATCAGAGCTCTGTTATCACAGACAGAGTAGCCGTGAAAACATTATTGTGTTCATTTGCGTCGAACGAATTCTAGCGTTACCGATCAATTAAACGCAATAAACGAACAATGATCGGTCATCCGGTGGCTAGCAGATGAGCCAAATCTGATCATCGCTGAAAGAAAGAGGCGACATTTCGGATATTTTGTCAGGTGAGTAATCTGAAAGACATTTAGACAACACGCAGCAAAAATCGAAACGCATATTCAAGCAAACCAATCGATGATGAAGATTTGTCATTTTACATGTTTGTAGCTTATAATATGATCATTGTGAAGGGTTCAGGTATCGTGGTTTGATGTGAAATAAGGCTGTTGTTGCTGTGTTTTGGTCAGGGGTGTTGTCTTGTGGACAGGCCTCAATCTGATCCATCAATGATCTGATCTCAATATCAGCACAATGACAGATTTCAGAGGCTTTGTTTAAGTATGTGGAGTGAGATAATTTGCTAATATGATAGCTAAATGTATAAATGGGTAGATTTGTGTTTCGTGTTTGAGTTGTTAAGGGATTTGGGCCTGTGAGGCAATTTAAAAACACAATGATCACAGTCAAACGCAATTTACCCAGTTGATTTTTTATTAGATTATACATATTTGTGTATTAATATTGTTTTATATACTATTTTCAATATATCTTACTTTTTAGCGTCATGTTTATGTAACATTTCACTGTTTAAATGTGTGTTTTTTTAAACCATCAGCCTTGCTGACATTTTATTGTAACTTTTGTTAATAAGTGTATACACTACTAATTCTTTATGGCTGACCTTTATTTTCAATGTTTGCTTTTAAATAATTTACTAATTGTTTTACTAATAGGCTATCAATGCTATTTTTGAAAGAATTTTTAGCTTTTGTTAGTAAATTTATTTGACTGATTTATAAATTGATTATTGATTATAAAACATTTATTATTACCACCATTACTAATAGTTTTAAACATGTAGTCAGCCTAGTTGACACGTTATTGTAAATTAGCCTAACGTTACACATGCAACTGATTATTTATAGCTGATATTTATTGTAAATGTTTGCATAAAAACATTATATTTTCTTATTTATCATTTATTTTATCAGTTTGTGCCTTTTGCATTCTAGCCGTTTCCTGATTTTAAACCTGACCTAAAATGAATGTCTGATATTCTAGTAAATTCCGCTAGTTAGCATCATAAAATGTCCCGTAAATGGTTTGCCTGTGAAGGATTTGGGTCATGATATATTTAGATCATTTCTGCATCAGATTTGGGCCGGCTGCTATTATGAGCATGTTATACGGGTTGTCTAGATTCAAGCCAAACGGTTATATTAGAGTCAGCAGAAATGTTTTCAAGAAAGCATTAAAGTGTAGTCATTCCTCTCATTCGTTGTGCTTCTGGTTCCACGACTTTACATGTGCTTCCAGATATTAACAGTTCTTTTCACTTGATGTGTTTTTTTTAGATGTACAGTCAGATATTACATGAATGGCGCTCTTTTTCTTATATAAGTAATACTTATCAGAGTAGAATTGCAAAAGCTTTAATTATACAGAGCCACAATGAACAAAGAACTCAGGCAAGCCTCTGTTTTCTCGTGACTTTTGTCAGCATAGTTTGGTAAACAGTGCCTTGTTTGTAACATCTACGTACGTACCACTGACATTATCATGTGTAGGCAGTAGGGGTGGCACGGTTCACAAAACCCACGGTTCGGTTTGTATCGCGGTGTTAGGGTCACGGTTTTCGGTTCTGTACTGTTCTTGTTATTTTTTATATTAATCTTTAACACTCCAGAAATGTACTTCAGCATATGATATATAGCTTAATTATCCACAATTTAGGATACAGTATTAAAAAAATTTTCAATCATGTACAAACTGAATTGGGACCATCTCCGAGGCAGACTGATCTCATGAAGTAGTGTGTGTATGACACGCCAATTCGTATTTCCATTTTTGACGTGCTATCAAGACGCATAATCGCTTTTCAGTGTGTTTATGAACGCCGTTGACTTAACGTTATTACTGTATATATAAATATATGACTTACCTCAACCCCGTCCCTAAACCTAACCGTCACTGGGGTTAACGGCATTTATGACTGTTCCCTTACCATCCTAGGAAAGAAAAAGATCACTCCCCAGATGTACATGCACATTTTGCTTCGTTTCGCGCGGACATTTGACGGCGTGTACAGACACGCGGAATCACTCGGACGTTAATGGACATACACGCGGATAGCTCAAAATGCGTAGAGATAACACGCCACTTGACTCGAAAGTGCCGTGTATGTTTACGCAAAAGTCATGATGTCATGTTGCCCGAGGAAAGATAGGTGAGGTTTTGATACAGCAAGAGAGAAGACATTGATGACATGCTTTTCGTTTATTTGGCAAAAAACTAGAATGTGTATCACTATCTCTACATTTTTAGCGCACAAAGATTGAAATTAACTTGCATTTATTAAACCTCCAAATGAAGGCTCAATCCCAATTCCCCCTCCGTTTTGCGCGTTCACATCTAGTCCCGATTCTTGTTGAGATCGAGGGGTAGGGCTACATAGCCCTCGAAAGGGGTGAATTGGGATTGAGCCTAAGTGTAGCTCTTACAAAAATGTTATATTTTAAAAGAAAAAGAGATCAGTTCTGTGATCAGTTCAAGTCAAACAAGCCTCATTTATGTCCATACACGTCTTATCTCGAAAAGGAAACGCACGCCTGAGGTCACATACGGGCACGCACGAGGCTACATTGCGCATATGTCGAACCGAGACAAGCGAACCGAACGTGCCCCCACTAGTAGGCAGCACATTTCTCCCTGATCTGCGTGTGAATTGATTGTATTTTTGTTTTCTTCACAGTATGGCTAGTTGCGGCGAGGTTAATCTTTCCATGGACTCCCTGACTTCGGGAAAGAAGGTGAGTGGGGAGTCTGTGACGGAGGGAAGTCCGTCACCGTCGTCTCCTTCCCTGCCCGTGCCAGAGTGCGCAATCTGCCTTCAGAGCTGCGTCCACCCCGTGCGCCTGCCCTGCCGCCATGTCTTCTGCTTCCTCTGCGTGAAAGGAGCTTCGTGGCACAGCAAACGCTGCGCGCTTTGCAGACAAGAAGTGCCCGAGGATTTCCTTGAGCGTCCCACTTTGCTCTCGCCCGATGAGCTGAAGGCTTCGGCGACGGGTGGACGCGGCGCGGGGACCGGTGGGCACGCTTGGTACTACGAGGGGCGTAACGGATGGTGGCAGTATGACGAGAGGACTAGCCGAGAGCTAGAGGATGCTTTCAACAAGGGCAAAAAGAGCGCCGAGATGCTAATCGCCGGATTCCTCTACGTGGCCGATCTGGAGAACATGGTGCAGTACAGGAGGAACGAACACGGCCGTAGGCGGAGGATGAAGAGGGATGTGATGGACATTCCTAAAAAAGGCGTCGCCGGGCTAAGACTCGATCCGGATCCTAATGTAACGGCGGGAACGGTTCCCATTGCAGCGCCCGCCGTCGCGGATTTAAACGTGAATGTGGATGGAGCCACAGTGGAGCGAGAGAGCTCTGCGGATGGAGCGGACACTGGGATCAACGGAGGACGGCCTCCGGGAGTCTTCGCTCCGGCTCCCGTAAGGCCACCGACCGTCTTAGGAGGTCACCTGACCAGCCCTGCTTCCTCAAGCGACATTCAGCTCGTACACGCTCTCGGCCAACTCAATATGAACCCCGCCGAGCCTGAAGAGGACGACGCAGAGAACGAAGAGGATTCGGTCGCTCCCGACGCCTCGGCGTACGAGTCCGAGTCTGGCACGAGTGCGGATGAAGATGAGGAGGAGGGTGGGGAGGAAAGTGAAGAGGAGAACACGGAGGGCTCTCAGGGTAGTAGGCATAGACTGCAGCAGTTGGACAGACCGCCCCCTGGTGGCGGGCCTGCGAGTAGCGGCGATCGGTCTGGGTGTCCCGACGGTCAGTGCACTGTTACGAAGGTCTGACCTCAGCACAACTACAGAACTACCACAACCGCTGGGTATTTCTAACCAATCTCTGAAACGCAAAAAACGAATTGAAAAACGAAACGAAGTGAACGAATTATTCAAATCGCAGAGACTCGGTTTTGGATGAGGGTGGAGGCTGAGGGGGCGCGGAGGGTTTTGGTGTAGGAATAGTGCTTGTCTTTTAGGGGACTGTACCAGGGCTGTACTCTTTAATGGAAATTACAGGCAAAACTACAATAAAACTTGCTTTTTACCATGCCTAGAAATCTTATGAATCGGCCCAACTATTTTTTTATTTTTTTTCCGTTCATTTAAAAAGAAAAGAAAACGACTATTCACAATAAAACTGTGATTGGTATGACCACTTTTCACCCTAAAAATGAAACGAAAAAAAAAAAAAAAAGCAGAATTAGGTTTTGCTCAAGGCTATTATGATGATTAAGATTTTCTCGTTTTTCTCAAAGTACTTTTGAACCTTAATTCTCAATACATTATGTATTACAGTAGTAATGATAATTTCAGAATACACGTGCTTAATTTTACAGTGCAAAAATATCTTAGTGATCCTAAACACAGCATTCATTTCATCTTTATGTGCGAACAGTGAAATAATAACTAATCATTTATTTATTTTATCTTTTGATTTTGGGGTGAAATATGACCTGAACATGTTCTTGACAAGTTTTGTGAGATTCACTCATTTTTTAATCAAGAGATTTCATTACATCTAGCATGGGTCAACACCATTATCCAGAGTCGTACAGTAATAAATTAATGTTATGTGGTGTAAAGTTAAATTTTTATCATTAAAAATCAATAGCATATCAGTTTTTACCCTTATCATTAGTTTGGTTGGAAACCACTTGGATCTTTACTGTTTTGAATACGACGGTTATGCTGTATATCAATTCATTTATTTTGCTATCAGCATTTTCATGGAAACCACCTGGTACAGATCCTTCTAAATCTGCAACAAGTGTTACGAATGTTTTATTTGTTGGTGAAATGACAAGCATTAGATGCAATACCAGCATAATTTCAAATGCAGAAACTATGAGAATTTATTGTAGTTTTGCCAAGGGTTCCTCTTTAAGCTCTAGTCATTAGAAAACCTTCAGTCAGCTTACATTTACTACTTCTAGTGTTTCATAATGTGAGGTTTAAAAATGTGTGTGCATTTGCTTTTATTTTTACGCGACTCGTCTTAACTCTCGTCTCATCCTGTGTGCTTTATCTGTTTCATTGATTTGCATGTGTTGCTGTGAGTGAGGTTGGAGCCCTGGACTATGGCGCTTTGAACTCTGGGAAAGGCGAGTTTTATCAGATATCACAAGTTGTAGTTGTTCTAGTCCTCAGACTTGAGTTGAGCGATTGGGTTTCCAGCATTTGCGATTTTAATCCGTTATTTTTCAACCCTGCTAATTCTCATCTCCATTTGTTCAGGTTCTTTGTTGTCGGCAAAACTAAATGAAAACTAAAATCGAGAATAACTTCTTTTTGATGTATTTCTGTTTTAAATGTGTTGTTTTGTTACAAGATTTATCTGAGAAATAAAGTGTTGTCTGTTAACTGTCCTGGAACTGTCCTGATGTATTTCTCATCGTATGTAAGAAGGTTTACTCTACTCTAAAGAATTGCATTTTTTTCTGTGTTTTTAATCCAAATACACTGTGAAAATAAATATGCTTTATCTAATCAATAAAATTGTGGCGACATATTACAAGCAATATTATTTATTAAATTGAACAAATTAGAATTGAGTAATAGTTAATCAAATTAACAATCTAATTAATTCTAATTTGTACAATTTAATTAATAATATTGCTTGTAATATGTTGCCACAATTTTATTGATTAGATAAAGCATATTATTGTTTTCAGTGTATGTTGAAACCAGAATTAGCCACCAATAATACAATACAATAATACATTTTGATGAACGAGTTCGAAAACCTTAATTTCTTTTCGACTGAAGAAAGAAGGACATGGACATCTTGGATGACATGGGGGTGAGTAAATTATCAGCAAAAGTTTTTTCAAAAGTGAACTACTCCTTTAAGATGCTGTATTGGAATCACAATAAATGGCCATAAAGTGTACTAAAATAAGTTTCCAGAAAAAAAATTGTACTTCTACAAGTCATCTGGCTTGAATTTAATATGTTTGCAATTATTATTAATAATATTTACCTTTAGTTATGCCGATGTCTACGCACTTTGGCTGTGTCTGAAATCACACACTCCTAATTATACTTATTTTAAATAAAGGCCACTAAAAAAGGAATGTTTTATGTAATCTGGACGTACAACATTTGCCATGTTGTCATTATCATGTGACCTTCCAGCGTCAGTTACGTCGCTTCACTGTCCTCTCCCATGGCCTCATGGGGCAGTAAAGTGTCCATGATATCCACACGGAATCTCACCGGAAGTAGTCGGTCTTCTGGGTGCTGTTTGCCTGTGATTTCAGACATCTTTTGTCACATACTGTTTTCCGCCACCTATATAGTAGGAAATTACATGATTTCAGATCCAGCCCTCGACTTTTATCATACACTGTAAAAAATATTGATGGTTTAACTTAAAAAAGTAAGTAACCTGGTTGCCTTAAAATTTTAAGTTGATTGAACTGGAAAAAGTGAGTTAATGCAATGAAGGAGATTAATTTAATCATCAGAAACTCAAAATTATATGTTTTCTGAACTAAATCAATTATTTAGGTTGATTTGACAAAAGAAAAAATGTTGTGATCACTGTAAAAAAAATATTGTTGATTTAACTTAAAAAAGTAAGTAACCTGGTTGCCTTAAAATTTTAAGTTGATTGAACTGGAAAAAGTGAGTTAATACAATGAAGTAGATTAATTTAACCATCAGAAGTTATCTCAACTAAATAAATTATTATAAAGTTGATTTGACAAAAGAAAATATTTTGTGATAACAAATCTTGAAAATATTTTTTACAGTGTACATGGGTTTCTACAGCAGATCACAAGTTTTAAGCTGAATTCCCCAACTCGGCAAAGTTTAGATAACTCTAATTGCAACATAAGTTACAGTACAATTTCTTTGTTACATTATTGCTCGGTTTCACAGACAAAGCTTGAGCCTAGTCCTAGACTACACTCTTAGAAAAGGGGTTCTATATATGTAGCATAGGGTTCTTTACTCAACTCCAAAGGATATTTTATGCTAAAAAAAAAGGTTCAATAATGACAAGAAAGAACACGTTTGGCACAAAGGTTCTTTAAAGGCTATTATTCGTTCATATATCACATTATTCTGTAAGATTTTGGAGTTGTAATTAAATTATTGTTTATCACACTTTAATCATGCTGATTTTTGGAGGATAAAAACTGAAATGGCACTCTTCGTGTGATATTGATTAATTACATGATTTTTTTAACCCCCATATCTTGAATTTTGGGATCATTCACACTCATTGCATTTTAGGGGTTCCAAAGTACGTAGCGCTTTAGAACCTTTTAAGGTTCTATATAGAACCTTTTCTTCTAAGAGTGTAAAATACATGTTTGAGTTGGTTTAACTTTTAACTGAAAGCAACTTTTTTTTTTTAAGTAGGCTAATTATTTTTTATAGAAGGCATGTTTATAGACTATTTCACAAGATGGAAACAACACTGGTCCAGAAGCACTTCCTGTTTCAGTTTGTAACTGTTTTCTTTATTTCACATGTAAAGAAAACATCTTAAAGATGTTTGTTTAACTTTTTGATTCAGTTTTAAATGTTCTGTTGGTTGTATTTTATCCCAGCTTTTATGTAGTGTTAAAAAACTGAAACAGGAAGTGCTTCTGGACCAGTGTTGTTTACATCTTGTGAAATGGTCTATAAAAGCTACTTAAATGTCCTGATTGAACTAAGGCCTAATCCTAGCTTATTCTAAGTCCTGTCGGTGAAACCAGGTTTAAGTGCGCATCTAGTAAAATCTTATTGTGTACTTTTAAAGTGCTGTGATTTGGGGTGCTTTTATGACCACATATGTTTGCTTCGGGGTCCTCTTATATGCATTTAAAATCAGTGTCAAGCAATTTCATGTGTTCTTTAAACATGCTATTTTGACTGTCTGCACAGTATAAGGATGTGTGCGATTGTGACCGATATAGTGATCGGTGTCATAGTGAGAGTTTTCTGCTCGTCTTCAGACAGTGTGGAGTCCGAGGTTCGTGAAACTGAGCATCTCCCAGGACGGACCCCTGTGGTACTCCAGTAAACTCGTTAAACTCAGTCTGCGGTCACCCTGATGGCATACTTCCTCTTGTCCGTCATTTGCATCTCTATCCCTCCACTACAGGGGGGATGGATTGACTGATCTGCAGTAGCATCTCGCTCCTGGAATAGCAATGGGAATGTTTGTATAGTCGCTGTTCACCTTCCTAGCTTTAACCAAACTTGGCAACTTGATATTCCAGGACATGCCTAAAATAAAGAAAATAATGCTTAGGCCTATATGTTCTCTCTCTGGGAATCGAACGTGTTGTTATTGTGCATGTGAGTGTGTATTTAAGGACAATGTCGTGTCTCTGCTGACGCCATGTGCCCAACATGTTGGCAATGCATCTGAGATGATCTCATTCTGTAATGTCTGTAATCATTAATAACTTTCATATGACACCTCACTCCGCTGATGACATCTCAGCTCATTTTCTGCTGTGCTCTAGTCACGGCGCCGGCAAGTATGCATGGGTCATTCCCTGGGATCAGATCACAGTCGGCTTTTCAACCAGTCAACGATTTTAAAGGTACGATATACTGGGAATAAGGCCGCCTGTATGCTAGAGTTTGAATATGTTGATTTGAATGGCTGTAAACCACATCTTACTCAGTGGTGTTCACTGGGTGAAATAATTACCTTAAAAGAGTGTAATTTATGTGCCACTAGCGTCATTAAATAGAATAATAATTATTGTATTGAAACAGGTTTCCCCAACAGGTCTCCTGACTGTGTTTGGACAAACGGGTAAAAACTCACTAAACCGCTCATCTAAACGCCAAACTCATCTAAACGCCTACGCTATCTCACGACCAATTCATACGAATTCTACGTATGATTAAAAAGTGTCTAAGTCGTACGATTTGTCTAAACCCACGTACGGAGGCGTATTGCATTCACTTGAAGAAAAAAAAATCTACTCTGTTTTTCCGAATTAACGAGTTAATTTTTCATGAGAAAAAAATTTGCTCTGTTTTTCTGAATTAATGAGTTAATTTTTCATGAGAAAAAAAGTTTTTACTCTGTTTTTCTGAATTAATGAGTTAGTTTTTCATGAGAAAAAAAGTTTTTGTTCTGTTTTCTGAATTAATGATTTAGTTTTTCATGAGAAATTTTTTTTTTGCTCTGTTTTTCTGAATTAACGAGTTAATTTTTCATGACAAAAAAATTTTTGCTCTGTTTTTCTGAATTAATGAGTTAATTTTTCATGAGAAAAAAAATTTGCTCTGTTTTTCTGAATTAATGAGTTAATTTTTCATGAGAAAAAAAGTTTTTACTCTGTTTTTCTGAATTAATGAGTTAGTTTTTCATGAGAAAAAAAGTTTTTGTTCTGTTTTTCTGAATTAATGAGTTAATTTTTCTTGAGAAAAAAAGTTTTTGCTCTGTTTTTCTGAATTAATGAGTTAATTTTTCATGAGAAAATTTATTTTTGCTGTTTTTCTGAATTAACTCATTAATTCAGAAAAACAGAGCAAAAACTTTTTTTCTCATGAAAAATTAACTCATTAATTCAGAAAAACAGAGTAGATTTTTTTTCTTCAAGTGAATGCAATACGCCTCCGTACCCACGTGATGGGTAGGTTTAGGGGCGGGGTAAGGGGTGGGTCATTCGTACGAATTCATATGAATTGGCCAATTCGTAAAATCGTACGAGTGAGGTCGTACGAATTAGACACTTTTTAATCATGCGTCGAATTCGTACGATTTGGTCGTGAGATCGGGTTGGTCGGGCTGGTTTCAAAAAACAGTCATGTGATTACTTGCGTTTTATAACGAGCTGATTTTTAATAGTCATCAGCTTTTGTTGCATAAGTAAGTGTCATTTTACATGATTAAACCGCCAATGTGTTTTTGTCAGGGAAATGGCGTGAATAGTTCAGGCTTTTTAGAGGGATTATAGGCTTTGGGGGCATAAACTCACTTGATTTGTAGACCCTCTCTACATTTTGTCAGCTTATTGAATCTGTTCATTTGACAATCACACAAGTCCGTGTTGATACATTCTCCTAATCAGTTTTCTGTAGGGTTCAGGTCAGGGGACTGGGATGGTCACGGCAGAATCTTAATTTTTTTTCATCAGTGACCCATTTTTATGTTGCTTGTGATGTTTGTTTTTGGATCACTGTCCTGATGGATCCAACCATGGCCCATTAAAAGATTTCTAGCTGAGGCTGTCAAGTTTAGATTTTGTTTTATCTTTTGTTTTTTTTGATAGAATCTATGATGCCATGCATCTGGACAAATTAGGCCCAAAACAAGCAATATATTTATTCATAGACATTTCTTTTTATCCCTCTGGTGGGTTTGCTGCCAAAAAGCTCTCCCTTTTTGACTATAGATTCCAGA